GACGACGCAAGTCGCCGAGAGTGCGACGACAAGAGGGTCGGCCTGAAGGTGATCAGTCAAGATTTCTTCGACAAAGTATTGCCGGGTTTGTTAAACCCGGGCAACACAGACACCTCCGACGACTTGTCGTGGCCTCCTACTTTTGAGGCAGATGCCGGGGTGGAAATTGCTGGCCGAAAGCAGTGCAGGTATAACGAGAAGAAGGGCGGCGCGGGAACTTTTGTCTGCGATGGGATTGGTTCGTTTGACTGTATCGAGGATGAGCAGTCTAACGGTCCGAAGACTTGTGGCGGGTTGCCTCAGCTTGTCTACTATCCAAAAGTCAGATGCTTGTTGCCGGTTGCTTAGGTGCTGATGAAGGAAGTTGCGTAAGTGACCTGAGAAAGGGTTGATTTGGGGTTGGACTTTAGAAGGTGGACCTTGCTTTTCATTTTGGATTTATGGATTTCCGTTCCGGTCGTAACGTCTGGATCGACAGCAAACTGTCTTTTCGTGCCTTGTATCTTGATAGTTGTGTATCAATGTTATTATCTCGATGCTGCTAGACTGGAAATTCTGATATGATGGTGACTTATTCGCAATCTCGTTTTGATTGTCTCTGTCAGACACCTGATATCATTTTTACTGGGCACTCTTTAGATGAGTGAGATTGCAAGCTGATGTCTAAGGTAATCATGAGCCGCAACACTAGCGCTGACCAAAGTTCGACGACATCTCCTACATAATGTTTGAACCTATGATGAATGGTCGTTATTAAGAAGTCTTTAATTTCTGTGAGTAACAATGCAGAACTTCCCAGCCTGCGATTGCTTGTGAAGAGTTTGGGTCTGTGTCTCGACAATCCATCGTCTCCACTATGTCTAGGCATTTTTGCGTTCTGTGCTCCGCAACTAACGCCTAGTAAATGTGCAAAAACATGATTGCGGCTCGATGGATTCGATGCCCTCAAGTCTCAAGATATTGGGGTTGCTGTCGTCTCTACAACAGGGATCCTCAGCCCTACTCGGAGGGTCCAGACCGCTGCCATTCAAACGGGACGCACGGATGCGGATGCTATTTCCACCGCAACGGTGGAAGTCTATCCAGTCTATCCGGCTCGGGGAAACCTCGCCTGCATCGGCTTGGTAGGTGGACATTTTAATGCACATGCAAGGGTGTCTTGGTGTCTTGGAAAGCTGTACTATGCAGCAGCCAGCAGATAGCAAAGTATGGCTATTGGGCGAGTCTCTCGGTATCCATCGAGCACCGACCGCCGACTGATTTCTAAGCCAAGCCTACCATGTCGCAATTGCCGGTCCCGCGTCCCCGCGGTTTTCCTGGAGGGGTTTCCCCTCATGTGAAGAAATCCATCACGACATCAATTCTCCAATGGTGCAACATCTTATCTCATAGGGCCATTGGTAATCAGTTACTCAACTTCGATACCATAAAACACTACGCTACCTCACCATCGACCTCATCAACAGTCAACCAAAGCTCCAAGACCCAAGTATTGACATAGCTCATCGATTCGTAAACCTCTCCAAACACCTCACAAACGACCCCGCAATGTCCTCCGCGCCCAAGATCAAGCTGTACACCAACCACGGCTGCCCATGTATGTGAACTTCACACCACTAGTCGACTAGCAAGTCTCATCATCCTCGTCACTTCGCACAAGCCCCTTATTCACGTTCTGAACACCCTCGTGTGAGATGAATTAAGCATGACCCGTCCCACAAGACGGGGTGGCACACACTCAAGATCATGAACTGATTCAGTGCAACCAACCACACAGGGGCTCACCGTGCGCACATCGCTCTCATCGAGCTCGGCCTCCCGTACGAAGAGGAAATCATCGATCTCGCTGTCCCCCGCACGGAGGAGTACCTCAAAGTCAACCCCCGCGGTCTGGTTCCGTCGCTCTCATACGACGGCGAGATCATCACCGAGTCAGCCGTCGTGGCCCAGTTCCTGGCCGACGCCCACCCTTCGCACCTGCTGCCGGCATCCAACTCTAAGGACGGCGCCCTCCGTCGCGCCCGCATCAACTTCTTCGTCGATGCATACTTCTCCAAGGCCAATCCGCTCATCTTTAAGGTGTACACGGCCACGTCGCCCGCCGAGGTTGACGCCGTCGCCAATAGCTTCGTCGAAATCATCGCGAAGGAGGTTGAGCCTCTCCTGAAGGATGCTGCGCCCTACTTTGGTGGCAGCGACAAGCCTACTCTGGCTGAGGTGAGTTTTACAGATTTGCAGCTCGGGGCTACTTTTGCCGACAGCACGCTCCCTGAGGCGGGAACTTTCTGGTCATATGAGAGATGCTAATGTACCAATACAGGCTTTGACTGGATCGTTCACTCTAAGACTCTTCGCTTTCTCCAAGCACGAGCTGCTCCCGCCGAGCCTCCTCACATCCTTGGAAAAGAGGACCCCTAATTTCTACAAATGGGCACAGACTGTGAACAAGACTCCCAGTGTTACTCACATCTGGGATGAGGAAACGATCATTGAGAAGACGAAGTTCAGGATTGCCAAGCTACGAGGGGCTAGCAATGGCAACTAGAGTTCCGCGATGTATTCGTATTTCAGAAGGAGCTTCAAGCTCATTGGAGCCGGGAAGTCTAAGCCATCTAATGTCATCAAGGTTCCAAATTACTTTCGTTCATCACCCGACTTTGAGTTGATAACACGAGGTTTTATGCCCGAAAAATCGCCGCTAGTCTTTGACGCAGTATGGTTGGTTGAATCTTCAACATGGAGGATGGGAGGGAATTTCGTATAAGTGGTTGTCTCGTGAAAAGAAGGGGTCGATCATACCTTGTTCAGATCCCCATGACCGAGTTGCCATCAAGTTGGCTGCGTCTTGTCGGGGAACATCCTGAACATTTCCTGTCCGTGCACCTGAAGCCTTGGCCAACGGTTGGAGATATTCTGCTCGATGGTTTTACCGTGCGGCATGGAGGGCGGGAAATTCACCCGTCATGTCATGTCATCGTGAGTCTCGACTGATTCTCGACTCTTTCGGCGAATAAACCTCTCTCTGCATTATTCATACTCTTGTGTGCCTTTTGCGACATACGACTTTTGACAGGACCGAAAAAGACTTGATTCACCGTTGCATCGCAAAACCTGAGATCCCGCGCACGAACTCAGCTCTCAGAGATCGCACAAGAATTCAGAGTTCAGATGCAGAAATAAGGCGATGTGAGAATTGATGCTGTCGCATATTCACACCGGAGGCAGCCACGTCCGTCGGAAATGCTCACGAAAAGGGAACTGTTCCTCCGAGGACTTTCATCGGCCCAGCATGTGCGGTGCTGAAGCCTCCGCAGCCTGCATGGAGCATCGTCTCGGAGTTGAAGAAATTCTGCCCCCACATCACCGAAAACCACGAACTACGAGATCTGTGATCGTCGGGTTGAGTGGGCTTGGCTTCCAGAAGGTAGGAGATCGGGATGAAGACCGGGTTCTTCCAGGAGTCATGAAGTTTGCTCAGGTTGCCATTGCGTAAGTTGAGTTCATCGGGATGTTTGTGCCCAGGTGGTGAAGAAGGAGAGCGTCTTGGCAAATTAGTGAAGCGGAGGCCATACGGAAGGCTTGAGCAGGAGGTGAGCCGGGCTTGTCATCGACCCCTTTGCCCGATCAGCAAGGCGAATAGGAAGTGGGTGCATGTGGACATTGGCAGCGCGGTTTCGAGTAGGGAAGAAGAATATCAGTCCAATGCCGTTGGGATGCGTCAGTTTCGTCGCTCGTCAGAAACGGCTCCTGAGAGGATAGTTGGCTGTCGAGAACAGACAAGAGCTAGACGAAGAATGCGGGAAGATGGCGGAGTCTAAATAGAGTTTCTGCTTGAGCCACAGACCAAACGACCCCGCTTACATACTGCCTGCAGGACTAACTCGTGTGCGTAGACGCTCGTGTGCTCGGTAGTTAGTGCGAGGTGTGCTTGGCAGCCCTTCTCGAAGCCGGTCTCGAAACACAAAGTGTGAAACATCACAGCGTTCACCCCGGAGCTGCATCCGGATGGGGACTAGGATCGCGAGCGGGGAAGCTGGGCCGGGACCAACATACTTGACGCTGTACCAACCAGAACCACAGACAATACGCACAATATATCCAGCTATATACCAGGTTGTATGTATTCATGGAGATGACGGGCACGCACGGTTCGCTTGGATAACTCGTCTCCTGATCGGCCCAGTGGGAGATGGGAGAGCTCAGGTTCCCGTGAAACATGACAACCGACACCATGGTTGCTGCATGCACGCTAGAATCGCACGTCCGAACTCTAAACTCCCCTATTGGCGATGTGCCGGCATCCAAGCCGAGCGTTGGCTACCTATCTTGCGGTGGCGAGGCAACAACTATCATGCGGCGATGTTCAACGGTAGTCATTCGTATGGTAACTTGGTGTAGAGGCACGAATCACACACACACACCATCTCGACAATGTGCGCACAGAGACACACTAGCGCACACGCATCCTTCGTGCTCACATCACCCACACACGTCTACCGCTTCTCGAGTTTCCTTCCCATCTCATCCCATAACCTCCAAACCCCCAAAGCGTGGATGAATACGTTTGGTAAAGGTGTAGAGGAGAGAAGAGTGCGAGGAAGGAGCTTTGTCCTTCCTTGTCGGTGTCCCCTTCCGTTAGTGCCCACCAATATGCAGCCCATCTGGCATCTGAAGCAAGACCAGTTATCCTTGACGTGTCAAGGCTCGAAGGCGAACGGGTGTCCGGGGGAAGGGTTGATAACGACTTACCCTCCCCACTCATGATGCATTCTTGGGTCTCCGCTCGTCAACATCCTTAATTCAATCTCCGGCGTTAGGTTTCGATCCTTTCCAACTTCCGGGGAAATAAGTTACAAGCCGCCCGGAGCGGCGACTTGGCGACATTAGCTCCCCTGCCCGCACGAACTTCGAGCACGCAGCCAACGGGGCCCACTCTCTTTAGACACTTCGGTTACATGGAGTGGTGAGCGAGTGGCGATAGCAGATCAATACCGGTCGATATGCGGCTCTCCACATCGTCTACGGCCTTTAATGGCCTGGGATGGACACTGTTTGCGCTTTCGATGTTGGGTATCGTCGGGGCGAACGGACAAGGCTTTCAAGTCGTTGAGCACCAACTGGTGTCGCGACAGCTACCAGATCTGAGTAACATCTCAACATGCGGCGTGAGTACTTCTCGAACAAATTTGCGATATCACTACTAACATTCCTTTGAGTTGAACTGTCTCGTTCAGTCCATCACTGGCTCGGGTTGCGACCTGACGAATACAACTTGTTCATGTGCTAGTTCGCAGCTTGGCCAGCTCGCCGCGAGCTGCTTGATCGCGAACTGCACTATGCAGGACTCATTAGGTATGGCGGTGATGCTCGCTGTCGAGGGGCATTGTTACAAGCTAATATGGTCCAGATCTGGCAAAGCTTCAAGCCAGGCAATGTAACCTGCCGCACGAATCCCAGACCACGAAGATGCTGGGCATTCTGGTCACAGTCTACGTTACCGCACTCATTGCAATCGGCTTACGTCTTGTCGCGAAGAGTTTTGCAAAGATATGGAGCACAGATGATGCTTTGATTGTCGCTGCCATTGTGAGTGGAAACGGAGCTAGCGAGTTGAGAATCACGAGCTGACGATATCACCAGGTCATTGCAATTGCGCCGTTCTCCCTTGTGATCATAAGTAAGTGCCCCTGTTGGAATTTATATATTGAGGTGCTGACAATTTCCAGTGGCTACGATGGGATTCGGAACACATCTTTACGACCTGCAGTCCGGACAACTGACGAAAATATTGCAACTTTTATATGCCGCCGAGATCGTTTACGTCTTCGTGCTTCTGTTCGCGAAACTATCCCTGGTCACGTTCTACCTCCGCATATTCACGGTACCCAGGTTTCGGATGGCGGCCTACTCTTTGATTGCATTCCTCGTGTTGGGCCAGGTCATCATTGGATTTCTGACCATCTTCTCGTGTCATCCGATCGAACTCTTCTGGAATAAGGACATTCACACCGGTGGCTGTCTCGACATTAACCAACTGGCGTATGCCAACTCAGCTCTCGCTATTCTTCAGGATCTGATCATACTCGCCCTGCCGATAGCAATGCTGCCAGGCTTGCAAATGAACAAAAACAAGAAGATCTCCGTCGCTGTGATCTTCCTCCTCGGTTCTGTCGGCTTCATATCGACCATCATCCGTCTTCAAGTTCTCGCGGTGTTCGGCAACTCGATCGATCCGACGTGGGACTACGTTCCGGTGGTTTGGTGGACGACAATTGAGCTCGGCGTTGTCATCGTCTGCGCGTGCCTGCCCATGATTCGCAACCTCGTCGAGAAGTGGTTTCCCAACTTCAAGCTCTTCAAGTGGTCCTCACCAAAGCCATCGAAAGACAGCGTGGGATCCTCTTCGGTCGGAACCGACGACAAATCATACAAGATGGGGCGATATCAAAAGTTTGGCAGGAGTACCAGCCCGCCGCAGTTCAGCGATAACTACGTTCGTGACCATATCGGAGGCCCCCCATCAAAGACCGACGAAATTTCCCCGACAAAATATCGAGATATGTACGCTTACGGCGGATCCAAGCCAAAGGTTTTGGAGCCTCCCATGTCACCACCTCAACCATACGATCTCTCATGGAGGTCGACGAACCCCTATGGAATATCTGGCGAAAACCCGTACGCCGTTGGAAAGACGAATTACAGACTTAATATTGAAATGTTGGAAAGGAAAGACAGGAATTTTGATGAGGAGCTTCCTGACATTCCTGAGCATCCTGAACAAACTGAGGTGGAGTACTACGGTCAAGCGATCACGACCGGGGAGCACCCACAACCATCGCGATGTTCTCATTGCGGGAGATCACGCTGCGGCGACATCTGATCCTTGTAAAACAGTCTCATTGTAATATCATAGATACCAAATGTTTTTGAGGTTAACTGCATAGATTCCAAGTCCATTTCAGACTATGTGCTGCTAGTTTGAGGCAATGCCGTCCCGTCGGAGGTTTGTTAAGGAACCGGCGCCGGGCCCCGCCTTCGCGCCGGGAGTAGTCCGGGGCGCTCCGGGGTCAACCCGGTTCTTGATCGGCTCTTGATTCCTAATGCGGCATTGCACTCGGCCATCGTACCGACAACTTCTCCTATCTGATCTTCGGAGAGAAGGATAGATAGGCCTCGTTGACCGTCCCACTCTCATGGTGCTTATCTCCAAGATTGCAAGGTTCTTATCACATGCGGGGATCCAAATGCAACGTAGACACCGACATTCCATGACGCTTCAGCTGCAGCCATGAACGCCTCATTCAATCTCCACCAATTCTCACCAGAATTCTTGTCCACCACTCCTAGGAGGTACAAATACCGCCGAATGCTGCGTCTTCCATGAACCACCGTCAACACCAGCTTTGACAGCGGAAAGATGCACCAGCATTGACCCGAGTTTCGCCACTCCCGCCCGTGGTACAACCGCTATCCCCAAACAGGTCACCTCCGAAGCCGCATTTGGGCGTTTCCTGAGCTTCGCGTCGCAGCTTCCCGCCTCACAGGACAACGTGAAACATGCGCCTTCTCTCCACAAGGCTCAGGCTGTTGCTGCTGCTGCTGTCGGCGGTAGGGCGATGCTGCGAACAGCAGCTCTGCGAAGCTGAGCAGAAGCACACCTGCAGCAGCTGCGGTGCCTCGAAGCCGCAGGTCCCGATGCCCGCAGCGCCCCCGCAGTGTCTTCCGCAGGAGTGGGCAACGTGGACGACGGACGATGGAGTTGATGCCTCGACCCGCGCGTACTGGATGCGGCAGGCAAACCTCGCATTGCCGAACCCCTGCCCGTTCGCGGCCTTTGGAGCTGTTGTTGTGAACCACACGGCCGGTGGCCTGGGGGAGCTGGTCTGTACTGGCGCGAACAACAACCAGGGCTCAGGCAACCCGACGCTTCATGGTATGCAGAGCAACGTGTTATTGCAACTGCCGTGAGAGAACAATGCTGACTGGCAGCAGGCGAAATGGTCGCGATCAACAACTGTTCGGCCATCTTCACGGATCCTCAGGGACGTTACAATATGACGCCCGCAAATGCTCTTCTCGCGTTCGGGGATCTGACGCTCTACACCAATGCCGAGAGCTGCCCCATGTGTGCATCGGCTATCCGCTGGGCTGGGTTCAAGGAGTACGTGTATGGTACGAGCATCGATGCCCTCGTCGACATGGGCTGGGGTCAGATCACTGTCTCTTCCAAAGAGATATTCAACCAGTCTTCCAGCCTCTCTAGTGAGACCGGCTTCCTAGGTGGTGTATTGACGAATGAGACGGACGGGTTCTTCAGCTGGCAGTTCCGTCCAAACGCGACTTGCCCGCAGGGCTGCTCTCGGGCGGCGAGCGGCCGTTGTGCGCCTGCATGAGGATGCCGAGCCGGTGCCGCGTGTTCGACCCCGCCTTGTGAGGCAGGAATAAGGTAGACAAGACGACGGTTTACTTGGCATCGGAGATGATTCTGTTTTCGACATCGTGAAATTCCCCCAGACTCTGATTTAAGCTCTCGGCAACGCCAGCTGAGGCGTTTGTAAAGCGTCTTCACCACAAAGCTATGCCGCATCTGCGACAAAGCCAAAGCAAGGCCAAAAAGAGAATGATTGAATGATCCCAACCTGATTTGAACAGATAACCTGGAGCCGGAGCGCTGTCAGCAACCTCTTACCATGATGAGGGTGTGAGGGGGAGAATCGAAGCCCCAGGGTGTAACTTACCTTTCGATCTGGAGTCGAACGCGCTACCGTTGCGCCATAGGACCGTTGGAAGGCGAGAGGGTATCGTGGATTGTGAGCGGGCAATGCTCGTGGGTCATGCTCGTGATCAGGGCGAGCCCCGCATGCAAGAGGGTCTGCAGGCTCATCTAGCCTTAGCGTGGTGATGAGACCAATCTCAAGGTCGAATTCTCTATTACATTCTTCAATTTGTTCGCGGGTATCTATAATAACCAGATATCCCATATCGCAGGGACTCACGCAACGCATAAACGAGATAGGCTCAGAAGAGCCTGTGGAATACTTTGCCCTGTTTCACATTTCCCTGCAAACCTGAGCTGAGATGAGAGTTCATTAAGTGAGCATGGCAGTTTATTCAGCGTGTAAAGTGTCAAGTGGTTTGCTTGATCTCAGAAAATAGAATCGGAGAGAATGAAGGAATAATAGATGCTGAGATGCTTGCATCTATTACTACTGAATGTGATGTCGCTAGAGATCATTATTATGCGAGTGTTCTTTCGTTCTTTGAGAAATAGATAGAACCCCTTTCTTTCTTTCCTCTGTTCATAGACTCAGCAAGAGAGACTATAAAAACATTACTTCTGACTAGTATCTAAGGTAGAAGAAGAATAACATAGTGTTTAACTAATCAGGCAATAGAACGTAAACGCATTCATTATATTAACCACATCCCTCGTATCTATCTAATAAACATGTCCCGAGAGAGGGGAAAAAACAAAAAGAATTGATTAATACTGCTTGCTTAATGTTCAAAAATGTCAAGAGGGCTCAATCGGGGATCGAACCCGAGACCTCGCCCATTCACGCTGTGCGCAAGGGTTGTGAAGAACACAAGCACCCGAAGGGCGAATCATACCACTAGACCATTGAGCCGACGTCGGCTTACAATCCCTGAGGGACCGAATGCGCGGTGGATGGCTGTGGCGCGAAAATTGGGCGCTATGTTAGACGAGTCACTGACAAGCTTATGCGTCTGCTATCAGGTCGCGGATGTAGATTCAATCGCGCTCCTTCGAAAGTGCCGAAAACTGGACAGAAGGAGCTAAAACAACGCTTTTCGAGAGACTCTGTTCACTCAGAAGAGAGTTCCGCCAGAGTCTGTCGAAACTGGTTCTTGGGGAAGGATGCAATGTCAACTCTGGTGGTAGTGCGGAGATAGCTTCGGACACTCGCCAACAACAGGAGACCTGTTCGTATGAATCCCAATCAGACAACGAGAAACCTCAACTCACCGCTGGAAAATCTTGCGTGGCCTTGGCCAAACGACGGTTCTGTCAGTGCTAACCGAATTACTGATTTCTTCCCCCTTGCCGTATCTCTAACCGAGCCAGAGTTGATGCCTTTCTGGACTGGACCTGGCAGTGGGACGCATGTCGGGCTTGTGCACGCGGTCACTTTCCCCATCGTTTCCACATCGCCAAAATAACCTATGGACCAAGCTCTGGACTCACCAGCCTGCTGGTACCGTTGACACAGTGACACTGAGGGAATTGGGATAGTCCGGAGTCCGGATACGTAGTCGATTCGATGAGCCGATCAACGAGATTGGGTTGCGCGGAATGCGATTCCTGGTGTTCATTGCCGTATTCGAACAGAGTTTAGTTGCGAGCTCAGAAAACTCGACCGAAGCGTCCGAATTGGCCGACGGATTCGGCGACAATGGAGCGAGGGGATCAACGCCCACGTGCTCGGTTTTTCTCACCCTCAGCTGCCAGAATTGATTGATTTCATCTCACTGAAAACGTAATCATCTCGCACCCATTCGCTAGGGGCGGTCCTGGAACTATCCGACCCCCGTGGGAAAGCTGGAACCACATCCGGGACCCCTGTTTTGGCAACGGTCGAAGCGCTTAGACGACATTTTAGCGGTGGCAAATTGGGCAGACTGGCGACTGGCGCCTAGCGCAATCAACTCAGCCAACTTTCATGTCGACACGGTGGATTTCCTTCGAGAAAACTGGCGGAAAACAGATCAGATCCGGCTGTGCGCCGACCATGGAGACGGATCAACGTCCTCCCACATGCCTTCGAAGCTAGGGGTTCCCGAGAGCGAGGAAACCCATATCCCTGCCTCGCGACATGGGACGTTCAGACTTGGACAAGGAAGACAAAACTCGGTCCGTGATAGGAAACCTGCGTTGCCAAATGGACAGTTCATATCAAGCCGTAAACAAGTCTCTTACTGCCAGAGCTGTATAGCCCTATGAACATTTAGCATCCGGGGTTCTATCAACATACCTGAGACAGAATTTATTAACAGCTCCAGCGAGCATCGCTGCTGATCGCGGCATTTGCGAGGGCATTATGCAGATCTTGTCAGGGTTGCCCAAGCCTTTGGCTCGGCGAGAGCGACTCGTTGCAGCCGCCAGCAAGCGGCAGAACTCGCCTTACAACGCCTCGCCAGGCACTCGTGGCTTGTATAAAAATGCTTGTAATACGACCCTAATCTTACCCTGACGCCCGGACGCCAAGAACATGGAACTGCATGCAGTTGTGGTGCCTGAACAAGGTTCATGACTAGTGTACGGTCCAACGACAGGAACCACTGCACAACAGCTTTTCTTCGTCTGAATAACATGAATAAGTTCAATATAGAGTAAATTGAAATGTTTCTATAGAAGTTCATCTGATATAGTTCATTTGACTTTTTCGAAAGGTCTGCCCAAGCCATTCTTCCTCTTTGGTCGTCAACGACGATAGCCCCCAACGGAGTGTGTTCCGAGCGCACTCGCAACGGCCCCAGGCGCAACTGAAGCGGGGATAAAGTTACAGATGTGGAAAGTCGTGAGCCCCTTCTAATAACATGGGAGTTTCTCGGTGGGTTTCGTCTCCCCCTTCCGGCTAGGTAACCTGGCGCGACATGCAAGGAGTCGACATCTTGATATTGCACCCCGTCTGGGGTGGTGGGCAGACAAGAGCAGTCAAAAGGGGGCGCCCTGCCGTCAAAAGACAGACCCCAATGTATTATGTGTTTGGCCGGATGCCCGTCATGCCTCACAACAGTTGCATCTTGCCTCGTACTCGCGTTTTCTCGTGATGTTGTTCCCCTCAACGCCCTGGGCGGCGCTCCTGCTGGCCAGCGTCTTTTCTTCCGCCGTGAAGGCGGACGACTGCTCAGTCGACCCGTTAGTATTACCCATAAAAGTAAGAAAAAAACACATCTCACGAGTCATTCGCTCACTTTTTACGGCTCGTCTGTTTCTCTTCTTTTGGTGTTTTGGTGGGTTTGTTGTGTGATCGTGGAGTACTGACTTGGCCCCCCGCAGAACGTTACCTTTCCGAATGGCATCGGTGCCAACCGCGGCGTCAAGCTCACGCTTGGTGGCCAGGTTCAAGGCATGCGCATGTCTACTATTCTTAACAATACGCGAGTGAGGAATGTTCTGGATTGCCCGAACGAGGACACCTTGGCGTTCGTCGGCTGCCAAGGCGCATCTGGCAGTGTCTATGATACATCAAAAGACACCTTCACTCAAGTTTACAACATCAAGGACTGGAATGTCTCGTAGGTGGCCTGTTCCAACGCAGTGCAACATTAATTGCTGACTTCTTGCACAGAGTAGTTGATGCGCAACCTGCTGATGGCGTCACAACCGTCCTTCATGGATACGACACCGCCAACTTCACGGATGGCCCGGCAGTGGTCTACGGCTACCCTTTCGAAATCTGGGCGGACTATGATTCCATGAACAAGAGTGCTCTGGCGCTTGGCCCCGAATCTTCCACGATTGACCTGCTCGTCGACCACAAGATCGCACCGACGTCGGCTTGGAGCTTGGATTACGGCTCAACCTCCGAGCTCTACCCCCGTGATGGCCAGCTTGTTTTCGGCGGTGTCAACGAAGCGCGCTTCAACGAGACGAAGAAGACCGAGTTCAACATGTGGGGAGCGGGCGCGTCTGTGCCGTGTCCTCTGCAAGTTCTCATTTCCGACATTATTCTGACGAACGAAGACGGCGACCACTCGCTCTTCAGCGACATCGGCACACGAGTTTCCGCCTGTATCGACACGGTTCAAAACGACTTCACTTTCACTCCGAACATGTTCTCCCGATTCCAAAATTTCACCAACCACACCACAACATTCAACGGTACCACATACGGCCAGTCGACGTATCCATCCAGTCTCGAGCCGATGATCGGAACCCTTACGATTAAACTTACGAATGGCTACACCACTGTTATTCCTCACTACGAGCTGGTTTCCCACGAGCGTGGAACCGACTCTCGCGGCAGATACGCCGTTACGAACAACACCCATATCCAGGCCACCGTTGGTTCCGGCTTGAGCGATTTAGGCAACAATGTCCCTATCCTTGGTGGTGTTTTTCTCTCACAAAACTATCTGCATGTTGACTATGCCGCGGGCAAGTTCTGGCTGAGCCCCCAAGTCGCGAATGGCACATTGGCAGACAACATCACATCAACTTGCAACGGCACCAGTAGCGGTACCAGCGGAGGAACTGCGATGGGTGTCAAAGTCGGTGTACCAATAGCCATTGGCGCTGCCTTGATCTTCTTTGTTGCGCTCTGGTTCTGGCTGAAGAATCGCAAGCGGAACCCAAATGCAGCCGGGGTTGCTGGAACGAGGGCCATCCCTCGATCAGAAAAGCGGGACGCCCCAGACTCCAAGTCATCGACAACCAGGTTTGCTGGGTACCAAAACTACCACGCCGTAAATCCAGATAATCACATGGAGCTCGAGGGCGACATGGGCGCAAGGCGAGCAGAGCTAGAAGAGCCCGCGCCTGCATATTCAAGAGCGTCGGAATGGCCCCGCATGAACTCGATACAAGGAGAGAATATGACATATTACTCCCAATCACCAGAGGAAGGCGAAAGTTACGAGTTGGCCGATACTTCGCCAATGCCACCACAGCCGCCGGTATTGGCAAATCGGCCGCCCGCGAGGAGGCAAGACACTGCGGTGTCTGCCATCAGCGACCGTGACAATTTTACACAGAGTCCGACTGCATTACGAAAGCAGATATCTAATATCGACGACATGGTGTCGCCAACTAGCACACGGGCAAACAGCACGAGACGTCCTTTTTAGCGTATTGGATAGACGATTAATGATAATTCACTTCTTGAGGCAACACATTTGGTTCCAATGACACTCGCGCTGTGAATAGTACATGAAATGATGAGGTTATTGCCTGATTAAGTCGGTGTTGTTGGGACTATGATGATCCTCCAAAATGTCCAAAATGCGAACACACCGCTACCTGGCTGTTCTCTTGAACATGCTGATCTAATAATACATATCGAACATGCCGCGCTGCTGCGAAGCCGACATGACTGCAATCCAGATAATAATGCCCAGTACAAACCCCCACAGTGACAACATAGCCATGCTCTTCGGCGAGCGTCCAATGAACATTGCGAAGAACATAGAGGCCGACAAGATCATGATCCACAAAAACACGCCCCCTTTGTAGGTGATGAGAAGAGAGCCAATTGCAGTCAACAAGCACCAAGTCGTTGCCCACCATCTCCAGTTCTTGATCCAGCCCCAGAGGCCTCCCCACACGCCATACATGGCCGGTGATCCTGCCTTTTCGAGTTCGATAGTTCCGCCTCTGAGACGCTTCTTGATCTCTTCAGAGAGCTGATCGTGGGTGAGGTCGTCGGGATTGCTTTCCTGCAATTCTTTCCTGATAGCTGTGGCAAGCTCCAGAACCCCCTTGAAGCCCTTTGGCTTGTCGAATCGACCACGTATTCTCATGGTCATATGAGATTTGACCCACATTGCTGACATTCCAAGGGTCCATAGAATCAACAGCAGTAGCATGATGAAGAGTTGGATATACGAGAACCCCCATTGATATGTTTCTCGAGCCGAGGCGTTGATTTTGTCTATCTCCGTCACAGGCTGGCACGTGCCGTTTGATCTGATGTAGTTGAGGTCGTACGTGTCGTTCCCCATGTTGTAGGTGTATGTGACCTTGCTTCTATCGCTAAATGGCTGTGTGTTTGTTCTCGGATCTGTCCAGTTATTGCCAAAGACTGTGTTGTACCTCTCCGGAAGGTAGAATGCCGAAATATTCAACGTTGGGGATGACAGAGTCTGATTCATGAAGGTCGAATTGTTGTTTTGAAGTCCAAAGAAACCGTGCTCCTTTGTATCTACATAGCCACATCAGCATTGTGTCTATAACATAGATGGCTGCGTCGGCCTCACAATTGGAAACGCTGCCATGCAGAGAGCATCGGCAGTTGAGTGGGTAACGCTCCTGCCACAGTTTATTGCGTTCTTCGTTACTGTATTCCTGGTCCTCCTCGCAGTTAGATGAGCCGTAGAAGCTCCAACTGTACCACGAATTGGGATAGTATCCGCCTAAAGTATTGCCTAGGAGTTGTTCCGCTTTAAGCTGTCAGTTGTGCTATCTAATAATAACCAGCCCAAACCTCAGAATCGGAATGCTTACTGTCGTAGTTGCTCCTCGCAAATGTGACTGGATAATCTTTGGTTAGATTGACTCGGTCACCATCATGTATGATGTAGGCAATCATGTCGAAATCCGAAAACTTGAGCATTTCTCCATCGGCTCCCCTAACGAAAGCACCGCTGTTTGCCTGATATCCGGACATCGCGCTACCAAGCGTAGGGAACGAGAGGATGAAAATTGCGACGACGATCATGAATATCATAGCGAATCGTGAACGTAGCCCGTGAGAGCGACTGAAGTCTCGCATCAAGTACCAAGTAGACCAGAAAGTCGGTGACCCGTCTAGGAACACAGTCCAAAACGTCTCGTACGTAACCGGGCTGACTTCCATCGATGTTGTGACATAATCGGAGAAGATGCTCCAAGAGATCCAAGCCAGAAGAGCCTGGCCTCCTCGTCCAAAAACCTGTGATCTGTCAGATGCTTGCAGGGTATGCTGGGGAGGCAACAGTTTTACCACGTCCCACGCGACATCAGCAAATTTGGCATTTGCGAAAGTCATAGTTCCCCATGCCATTGTGATCTGGAAGAAACCAGAAGCAGCCCACCAGTCATACTCGTTCATGAAAATGTTGAAGCTTCCATCTGGCTGACATGCGGTGTTGTCTGAGTCGGTAATGGCCTGGGGCTGCTGGATGACGACACTCATTAGAACCCCCAGGCCGGCAATCCAACCAAGGAGCAACAACCAGCTGATCCCAATAACCCAATTGAAGTCTATTAAGTCCTGCACAGCGGCGATGACAGCCTCCTTCCAAGCTCGCTTGTCCCAGAGCTTGGACCCCAGGTCGGCGCATCGGCGTTTGGATCGCGCGGTCTTCTTGCCAAGTGAGGAGCTGTCGTCAATGAGAAGCGGGGCAAAGGGTTTCGTGGAGAGAACGGCACTGAAGCCGGTGGACGTTTTTGAATTAGAATCCATCTTCGACAGCCCTAGTGGGATTGAGTAGTCTCAACTTTGTTTGACACCTCTGTGACGGTGCTGTCATGACATGGCTCGATTGAGCGGACCTGAATCGCCCGAGAACGAAACACAGAGTACGAAGTAAACTGCAGAGGGGAGGGGCCAGTTCCAATTCAATTGAAGCTGTGGCACAGCAAATGCGGCTGCCCGCCTCTTATCACTGTCAGCGTGGAGAGTCAGGATTTTTATCGCGTTGAGTGCTGCCTAATGCAACTGACAGGGGTTTGTCTACGCGGGAGTTCCAACCACACATCGCCAATGATTATCTACAGGGGCACATTTGCTTGTCGTCATTACGCAGTCTGCCGTCCGGAGGAACGGCGCTACTGCAAATAAACAGCAGAGTGAGATGATAGGCATTGTTTAGCGATCATTTCAAGCCTTTGAGCAGCTCTCCGGTGCTGCGCCGCTGGGCCATCTTGGACAACGTATGGTGATAAGACTGATCGGCGACTCCACTGCCGTTTTCTTCGCCTTGCAGGCCCTTATTCTGATCAGGCTGTCTGGTGGCGCAGCGTGACCAGCGAAATGGGACTTCAGTGGGCGGCCGCCGCTAATGATTAGAAAATGCGAACACCTGCGTGTGTCTGAGCCGTCTTATTTCGTGCTCCCTGGCTCGATATGGAGGATTCGTATCCTTGCACACAGCCACCGTTCTCCCTACGGTGGAAGAGATTCCAGCCTTATGACGTTCTCAACCCGGACCGGAATTGTCCAGTGAGCAGAAGGTATATGTAGATAGCCATCCATTCTGCACGTCATTGAGGTTATTAACTATGTTCCTACGAACCTGGATCGAAGCTTTCCTAGTTATCATAAATAGCACCACGATGCTTAGCAGGCATATATCAAAGTATTAACATAAGTTTTCGTAGTGTGGCGCAAGCCTCCACAAATTGGATTTGTGTATACTCGAAAGATAGGAGAGGATGTGAAAACTGCGCGAAAGGCCCTGTCTCGTCGGCTTTTACTACAAAGAAGACCGCGGTTTTAGATGCTTTCCTCAACGTGAGGCCAGGATCACATCTCGACTGCAGGGATACAGGGACGAAAACGTGCCTCTCTTTAAGTCCCGTCACCCTTCACGACATTTTTGCTTGAATGCTGGACATTGGCCGTCCACTTGGCAACAGTCGTAGTCCAAAGCCTCGACTGGTTACTCACAACTTTTGGAGCCTGCTCTTTCTTGAGGAGTACAAACAGACGTTCGTAGATGAACGTCACCTCACAACTCTCATGGGACGTCAGAAGATTTGTAAAGTTCATCATAATTCGTGACTTATTTCGTAGCGAAAGGTAGAGAACGAGCCCCAAGACAAAACATTTACCACACACGAACGCCCCGCCCAAAATGGCAAACCCCTCCACCCTTCCCAAGCGCAACTCACCACTCCGCCCCTCCCATTTTCGTTAAGCATCAACTGGAACAACTGGAATGTCAGCCCCGGGTCGCTTCTTACGTCGCTCCTCCTCCCGCCGCCTCTGCTCTTCTCGACGCTTTGCCTCCTCTCGACGTCGTTGCTCCTCGCGAGCCTTCTGCTCCCGGCGCCTCGCATCTTCTCGCCTCTTTGCATCTTCACGACGCTTTGCTTCCTCTCTGCGTCTAGCTTCCTCTCTTCGACGCTCTTCCTCTGACTGCACCACAACACTGTCAGCATGCTCGAGCCACGTCTCGTGCACAACACCTCAAGCGCCCTCCGGCGCTAAAGCATACCAACCTTGCTCTCTTGTTGGACAGCGCGCTTGTGATTATAACCGTAGCCATTCTGCCTCTCACGCTCGCGCTGCCGCTCTTGCTCCTTGATCAACTGATCAGTCTTCTTCTTGTCATACTGCCCATCGCGAATTCTCTCTTCCTCCCTCTGACGTGCGTACTCCTGATCCTTGAGCTTTGCCTCAGTGCGCTGTCTGTCATACTCAGCCTTGCGAATGCGGTCATCGTCCTTGGCACGCTGCTTTGACGAGTCAGAGTTCTGCTTGTCGTACTGAGCCTTGCGGATTCGCTCCTCCTCGCGTTGACGGGCGTACTCCTGGTCCTTCAGCTTGCCCTCGGTTCTCTGTCGGTCGTACTGAGCTTTCCGAATGCGTTCATCTTCACGATCGCGGTTCTTCTGCTGCTCCTTGATAGACTGGTCAGACTTCGACCGTCCAGAAGACGACCTGCCATTGAGTCTCCGGTTGTAGTAGTAGTCCGGGTCTTTGTAACCAATCACGTAGGGATCATAAGGCTTGCCGTTAGATTGGGGCGGGGGCGTCTTGGGTTTGTAAGTAGTAGTCGTGTGCGAATCAGGGGTGTCAACGAAGCGCCCATTCTGCTTCTCCTTCTTCTTGATCTCAGCCAACTCCTTGTTCTCCTTATCCTTCTGCCGCTGGAGCGCGGCCTTTTCCGCCGCGTTCTTCTTCTTCACATCGTTCAACTCCTTGATTTCCTTGTTCTTGTCGAGTCTGGCGGCCTCCTTCGCTGAAGGGGTTTTGGCGCCCTTTTGACGGGCACGAGCATCGGCGATCTCCTTACGCTCACGGTCTTCACTGAGATTCGTCTTCTGCTTCTGCGCCTTTTGGTCCTTTCGGATGTCGTTGAGCTCAGCCTTCTCCTTCTGCTTCTGCTTGCCGAGATTAGTCTGAGAAGGAGGAGATTTGTTGTTGGACTTGGGTTTGCTGGTGCCCTTATTGTTGGCGCGCGCAGAGAGGACGTTGCCCTCTTCTTCCCCGAGGTTTTCTGCACTGAGATCTCGTGCTTCTACCTCGTAATACTCCCACTCACCATCATCGGTAGTGGCGGGAGGGGCAGCGGCTGGGGGAGCCGGCTGGTTTGGGTTGACTTGACGGGCTTGTAGGCCAGGGATCTCCTCGTCGATCTCCTCGGCCCGAGACTGGAGCGAAGAAATGGCAGAGCTGAGAGCGTCGTCCTGGCTGTCGAGGCGCTTAACGAGGGGCACCGCCAAGCCGCCAGAGACGAGCAGGGCCAAGACGAGAGACTTAACAGAGGGCATGATGACTTGAATCGTAGGAAATGGTAAAGGCTACCGGGGTGATGAAGGCGAGGAAGTCGTAGGTAGACCTGCTGGGCCAACAAGGACAATTGGGTATGCGGAAGGTCATGATGTCTTTAATACTTCAGTCTCCACGCTGATTCCCACTTTCGCAGCTCACAGGAAATCCCCTTCCCACAATAAGCAGCTCTCTAGTGGCACTAGTGAATAAGTCTAAGAGATGCGTGATAAGGTTAAGTTGGTGGTCTGAGACGGCCTGGACCTCAGCTCTGGGTGTAGTCGGCACATCGTCGTCCAGTGGATCTGATTTTGGTGTTGTCCTTCCCACGACCGAAAACGAGGCGGACGCCGCCGGCGAGCGTACGGGATGTCGAGATGCGTCTGCCGAATCAACGGACTCCAGCATGGCCGTTAGATCGGCCAGAGGTTGGGAACGGGTAAGCTTTCCAACTGTGCGTTCCGGATTATATCAGATGGAAAAGCTTGCGTCGCCCCCTTCCGCAGCGGCCCAGGGAAGCAACCGATACCGAGCGGGCGTTCATGTCGTTTGTTTCTGACAGCGACTATTCCTGCCCTGAGATATCCCGTGGGTGCCACTCTACGACTCAGACGGTTCGCAAAGGGTCCAAGGCGTTGAGTCGGCACGCGGGGTAGGGGGCAAGTTTAGACTCGGTCCCGAGCCCAACTAGCTGGAACGGGCAAGAGCTTATCTTCGCGGGCCACGTACATCTCCCGCTGCGGGGAGATGGCCGGGGCCAATAGATGGTCAAAGATTATCAGGTATTCGTAACGTTGGGCTAGAGTTTAAGGTGCCAAGCGGCCCTGGGCCAAGAAACGCCCCGTCCCTTCCCCACCTTAAGTTTTGACGCGCGGATTTAGGTTATCAAAGGGGATCGAAAGCGCGACCAATATCGCGATGGGTGTCTTGTCGATCTTGGAACCCCAGGCTTGAGACTCTCGGGGGAGCGCCCGCCTGGTAGAAGTCTCCTGATTTGTGAACAGATTTGCCGAGGTGGAGGCTCCCTGATTACGGCTCTTCCCAGTCACTTGGGACGGTCGATGCATGGCCGCTCGGGAACTTTCGAAGCTTGGGCACGCAGATCTCGCTGCCCCTTTTCTTTGTGCACGCAGCATGGCAGGCCTGAATGTCCCCGTCTCGTCCGGTCTTCTAAACCCCTAAGAGCCCGGAGCCGCTTGAATAGCCCGGGTCCGGATACAGCTTAACCTGAAGAGAGCCCAAAGTAAGCCGCGCAACACTGGTTCACTAGCGCCGTGTTGGGTTTCCGTAAGGCTTGCCCTAGCTGGACTAGAGAAACTCTTCCGAGAGCAATTTGAAATTTCTGCAAGGTACCACAACTCAAAGCAAGCCTAGACCTTGCCCACAGATTCTAGTTTACAGCGTCCAATCGTGTCGTCTGCATGGTGGGCGGTTATCTCAGCTTCTTGCCAGTGTTCTAGTTGGACTAGAGTGTAAACATGGCCGTTTCATGGTATTGTGATTGGACTCTTTTTGGTGTAGGTAAAGGTAAAGCTCACGTGGCCTGGAATTAACTATCGGAGATGAGGTTTCTAGTTCGGCCCTTCATCTTAGATCATCGAGATACCATTGCGCACCATTACGTGCGAAGCTGATTTGATGGAAGACCAAAAGTCCCCTCGAAGCTCAATTTGCCCAGTATTGAATGTTCCATGTACTTTACATGCGATGAGCGGCTGACCAAACGCCCAAAGCAATCTGCCATAAGCTGAACACTCTCAACCGCTAAGGAACCCCTGACATATCCGTGTATTTCCAGGTCTTTAGTAGTAGGTAAAGGGCTTACGATGGCTTTCAGCGAGGGTCCCGTTTTCAACAGAAACATTCTCTCCGGCCTCAAACTGCCACGTACACGCCCATAAGCTTGAAACTTCTTGCGATGACGAAATATTGAGTAGCTTTAGCGCATGGAAGGACCTTACTTTGAAGCTGCATGTTTCCGTCCCGCTCATTATTCACCATCCCACGGAAGACTTGGCGGCACTAGCGGGAGAGGCGCATTAGCGGCGGATACGCACGCTGAGGCCACGAGCTTAGGTCATGATGAGGGCACCCGGTTCAGGCTGTGTAAGCGTTAACTGAATCGTTGATTGCAAAGTGCACGAGATGCTTAGAAAAAAAGGGCGGTTCAGCTCAGCGCTGCAAGGGCCTCTCTACCGCCTTGACTGAACAGTACCGGTTTTTATTTTTTTCTTATTTTTTGGTATTCAATATCAAGTCCGAGGTGGCCTGGATTTACACACAGTCCCTCATGACTCGAAGAGGACTTTGGATAAAAGGCATCATACTGAGAAGCGCTGAATTGTGACCTTGAATCAGGTATGTTTCTAGACTGATGGCACTTTGCTCGCCCTCAGGAGTTGCTTCTCTCTGTTAGAGCTATGTTACATCTTCAAACTTTGGAATTAGCATCTATATTGATATCGTTTGTAAATGAATAATCAATAAACACTCCAAACTGCGGGCGATTTACATCAACTCAAACACCCAGAAAGAATGTTACGCCGAGGAAAGCCCATGGCCTGTTCTGCGCTGAAATTGACGCTTTCCCGTAGATACTCAGCTCCCAGGTTCATGTCACTGGACTTTAAGGAGCCAAATAGAAACCGCTTTATCTTGTGGGACGAGAATTGATCTCGGTGTCCTTCTCGAAGCAGTTTCACAATCGCTTCAAAGTTCATTTACCCACCACTTAGCCCCTTCCTGTACTAATTAGCGATCCCAAAACCAGCATGAAATTTGTATTATCATCTTATCTTCTTCAACAGTAGTATCCCGCCGGATGTCGCGAAGGCCATGATGGTTCCCCCAAAATCGGATACTCGAGGCGGCCGCTGGCATCGGCACCGACTCCGTTGGGCCGAGGCCCCGCCCCCAACCCCGAAATGGCAATTGGTGTCTGGGCGCGCCGCCATCAGCCCCACAAATGCACCGAAGAGGACGGACGGAAGTCTCCCCTCCGCCCCCGATCAGTCTTGTGCCGTCTCGGCGAGCTTTATTTGCGGCGCTCATTCTCACCAAGACGCTGATCACTCTCACGGGAAATCAAATCGCCGTCAATACGAGATATTTTGGTGTTTGAGATGAATTGCGGTGAACTCGGGTTGCGAACAGAATGCGCGTGTGACGCCCCTGAAAACACTCCAAGACAAAGGGATAAACTTAGGCGTTTCCTCCAAGACTGTTAAAAAAAACATATATAGCCGGCCGAGATGTCGGAGCTACCCGCACCATCCCATGTTCTTTAGGTTCGTGGGACTCGACAACCGCCACTGCCGATCATGAAGGCCCACCTCGTCGCGATTCTGAGCAGCTTGGCCTGCGTCCAATCTCTCGCTGTCCCCGAGCCCAGGCAAGCTGGAAGCTTCCCGTCGGCAAGTGGGACGCGGTTCACCATCGATGGGCAAACAAAATACTTCGCCGGCAGCAACTCCTATTGGATCTCGTTCCTGACGAACAATGCCGACGTAGACCTTGTCATGGACAACGTCGCAAAGTCAGGTCTCAAGATATTCCGTGTCTGGGGCTTCAATGATGTCAACACGATCCCCGGCAACAACCAGGTCTGGTATCAGTATCTGTCGGCTTCTGGGTCTCAGATCAATACAGGGGCGAATGGTCTGCAGCGCCTCGATGCCGTGGTTACTGCCGCGGAGCGGAAGGGAGTGAAACTCATCATCAACTTTGTCAACTTCTGGGACGACTATGGCGGCTTCAACGCTTACGTGAAGGCGTTCGGAGGGTCGAAGGAGAGCTGGTACACGAACGCCGCCGCTCAAGCCCAGTACCAGGCTTATGTCCGAGCGGTTGTGAACCGCTACAAGAGCTCCTCCGCCATTTTCGCCTGGGAACTTGCGAATGAGCCCAGATGCAAAGGATGCAGCACGGACGTGATCTACAAATGGGCGGAATCAACTTCCAAATTCGTCAAGTCGCTCGACTCCAACCACATGGTGACTCTTGGTGACGAGGGAATGGGGCTGCCTGGAGACGGGAGCTATCCATACCAGTACGGCGAGGGGACGGACTTCGTCAAAAATCTCGGCATCAAGACTCTCGACTTCGGTACTTTCCACATGTACCCTGACCATTGTGAGTCACGATGTCTAACTAATCCGAAAAACTGAGCTGACAATAATGTTTTAAGGGGGCGTTGATCTGAAAACGTGGTCTCCTGGCTGGATCAAGTCCCATGGTGAGGCATGCGCCAAAGCGGGAAAGCCCTGCCTATTCGAAGAGTGTAAGGTCCCCCCTGTCTCAAATGTCCAAAACAAAAAGCTAATGCCAAGGAGACGGTTCCCTGAGTGACCACTGCAACATCGAGAAGGCATGGCAGCAGGTATCGCGTACGGCGTCTGGCCTGGGAGCTGATTTGTTCTGGCAGTGGGGAGACCAACTGAGTTCAGGACAGACGCACAATGACGGATTTACAATTTACCACGGCAGCAGCGATTATCAATGTCTGGTGGTTGACCATGTTAAGGCAATCAACTCCTCATGATTTGCCGCGAGTGGCTTGTACATAGACGCCTTCACGGCCTTCTCGGCCTTTGACGAGTCAAGATGATGCACATACGTCTTACAGTTGGTCTTGGAATCTGGATGTGTGGGGGATTCCGCCGATCCTCGTGTTATGAGAAACGAATCGTCCGAAGTCTTGTAGGATGAGGCTCAATCATTCGATGCATCGAATGTCGGGTACCGTGCTTCCGCAAAAGTAAGCCCTAATTGAAGCGCAGCTTAACCATGGAAAAGGCCAAGCTTTGTCGGAAAATTGTGGTCTGATCTAGGATAGACCCTTCAATACTCCGCCAGCGCGACAAAGAAGGATCGGCGCATAAGGTAGGATGCCACAGCCGCATACTAGTGAGCAGCAGAAATACGAGGACCTGGATGCCAGATACTTCCCGCAACTGCTGCGCGATTTCCGATGTAGAACAATAAGAACAAAACTCACCCCACATTCGGTTTTACCTGAGAAATCCCTGACTCATTTCCTGATTTGCTAATTCTGCTTGGCAGAGCGTTTTCCAGCAATGTTTCTCGGAAACACCGTGGTGGTTGCTCTGAGTCTGCTCCAATTATGGGGCGTCTCAGCTGAAGATAAGGTTAAAATCATGCCTCTTGGGGACTCGATCACAGGCAATCCAGTAAGCTGTTCAGGATCGAGACTCGGAGTTTGTAACTAACGCCTACAAGGGTTGCTGGAGAGCGTTGTTGTGGAAGAAGCTTCAGGACAATAACATCAAGAACACCGACTTTGTTGGGACACAGAAGGCGCAGGGTTGTGGGTTTGACTATGACGGAGAGAACGAGGGTCACGGTGGGATGTTGGCTGCAGACATTGCCAGTCAGAACTTGCTCGATGGATGGTTGAAAGAGACTAAACCAGACATCGTCATGATGCACCTGGGCACGAACGATGCGTGGAGCAACAGGAGGCCAGAGGACACTATTCAGGCGTTTGACAAGTTGGTGGACCAGATGAGGTCGAGCAAAGATACGATGAAGATACTGGTGAGTGAACGGGAGAAGAAAAGCCTGTCGTTGCCGTGTTGATTACAACTAACTGCTTTCAGGTCGCTCAGATAATTCCGTTAAACCCCGATGGTTGTCCGGAGTGTGGTCGAAGAGTTGAGACTCTGAACAACGCTGTCATGGAATGGGCACCGACGAAATCCAACGACAAAAGTTCTATTACGGTAGTTGACTGTCATAAAGACTTTGATGTCAAAGCAATGACACGAGATGGAGTTCATCCGAATGATAAAGGGGACGAGCGGCTGGCTAATGCTTTGTACGAGCCTCTCGCAAAGGCTATCAAAGGCTAATTACCAAATAATATATCGCATTGAACGGCCATCTCATTTGAGTTGGACGTAAACATACCAAAGCAAGTGATATTCATCATCAACATACAAGATTCTAATACCAAAATGAGGGAGTTGTGTTTGCGGCGCAGATTCAATGTCTTGTAACTGGCTTGCGAGCTTCTTCCATCATTGACAAACAAGAGTATTCCCTGGAAGATTTACTGGTACAAGGCAAGTTGACTTCAACTCAGTTAACGGTGTAGATGCTTCATCTTTATGTTGTTCATAGTTGCAGCCAGTCTGTCGGCTTGTTTAATGAAGCATCCGGGAAAAGCATAAGCTTCTGAGTGACTCATGAAGCTGTACTATGTACACGAATAGAAATTTCCTCGGAGTGTGCCCAACTGGCAGCGTCTTAGCTATGTCAAAACCTTACCAAGGCCACCACCAGGGGTTGGATCGCTTGACGACCCACACGCCACGCTCCATGGTGTTGATTACGATGTAGCCGCTCTTGAAAAAGGGGTAGTGACTCCAAGTACCGACGTAGTTGTTCAAACCACCGCCCTCCTCGTTATCATCCTCGGGATAGATGTCAAAGTAGGCAATCTCCTTGACACCCTTCGCTGTAGGATCTTTTCGAATAGATGAAATGTCCAAGATGCGCAGACCGGCACCGTAGTTGCTCTGGTAAGACAGACCGCGGTTGATGTATTGGTTGTGATCAACGCTTCGCACGGTTCCCTGCGAATGTATGGTAAGAATTCGTTGTTCAACACTAGGTATTTGTAGACTTACCTTGAAAATACCAGTCTGGCGCGGCGATGCGAGGCTTCTGATATCCCAGAAGTACGTGACGGGGAATCCGTCGGCTGCAGGACCAGTTTTGTTTCGCTCGTCGATCTCGTCGTCCAACACAAGGAAGTCTTGCCAGTTGGGGTCAATGATCCAGCCCTGATGAGTGTATGTGGCACCCTCGTAGGAAGTGCGCGAGATGATGTTGGTAGTGTTCTTGTCGGTAACATCATAGCTAAGACAAAAGCGTTAGCAATCAGTGTTTTTGAGGAGTTGGCTCAATGCGCGCGACTTACATGGTCAAAGTGTCCTCATTGTAGCCGTAGCAGATATCGCGGCCCCAGTACTTGACGTCAGGTCCGCGGTAAACAATGCACTGCGCGTCGTGAACGTAGCCATCACCAGCAGCACATCCAAGGTATTGAGGGTTTGCAATATCGGCGAGATCCAGGAACTGAAGCCCGGAATCACAAGGCAGATTCTTGCGGGGCTGAGCACCGACGGCGACGGCGTAACCCTTCTCTTCATTGACTACAACGTTGTGGCTGCGACCCAAGGGGAGGGCCTCGCTCCAGTGTGCCGTCAAGTCGCTTTGAGCGAAGGTAATGGGGTTCTTAGGGTCGATATCCAGAAGCTTCAGCGAGGTTAGTCGAATCCGGACCAATTTGGTAATGTGGTGGGCAAACCTTTCGTAGATCAAAGAACTGGACGCCGTGGTCAACAGCCTCGCTGCCGACAACAAGATAGTTCTTGTAAGTCTTGATCTCGCGCCACTGGCTGGGAACGGAGTATTGGGGAAGACGGCCAAGGTAAATGAGCTTTCCCTGCTTCGAGATCTCGACGAAAGCAGCTCCATCGTACTGCCCAACGGCAAAGAATTCCCGTCCGTTAGGCGCTGTCCAGCCCCAGGAGCCTGAGCCTCTGCCAGTCGAGTTGCCCAACGCAGCATGAGACTGGAAGTCGTAAAGATCAAGCTTAAAGGCGTTAGTATGGCAACTCATAAAAAGTCACAATGGGCTTTGGCTTACATCCTTGCACCTAAAAGTCTGGAGAGGGTCCCCCTTGACCAATTCAACCTTGCCGTCCTTGCACGCGATGTAATCCTTCGGACGGGCTGTCCATTTCGCAGACTCGAACCTGCCCTCGGCCTCGAACTCCTTCCATTGAGCCTGTTCACAGTTAGAGATGTCTGGTAATCTTGTCCTCAGGAACGAATTGGCTCACAAGCTTGTGCTCCATGCTTTCTTGATGTGCGGCACCAGTATCATACCAGGCTGACAGCTCGGCATTGGGCTCCAATTCTTTGGCAACGGAAGCCCCCGAGAGGGCGCCGACGGCCAGAGCCAGATGTGCGGTTCTCATCTTGGAATTGAAGGGTTCTGATGCCAAGCGAAGCTGGGAACAAGCACCTGGGATGGGTTCGGACGGTGGACGTTGAGCGTGACAATCAAAGTCTGGGGGTCACAACAAGCAATCCATGGGACCTTATATACATGCGATTTTGCTTTACTGGGCCCCGAACAAAGTACCACGCGATATTAAATGTGCATTACAAAAGATCCAAGTCTTACCGCAGCGGGGTAAATCATCTGTGGCCCTGCATCTTGTGCCTCCTCGCCTGTCATCATCATGCGCGGCCTGCAGAAGCCAAGGAATGGCGAAAACAGTCGTTCAAATAGGGTCATGTACTGATCAATAGAGTTTTGCCTCAGTTACCCGCAAGTACCGGTGGCTGCGCCCAGATGCAGGCCATCAGTTGCTTAGGGCGATGAAAAAGGCAGGTGGAAGTGATGTCGTAACCTCTTGGCATTATTGCCCAACCCCGTCCAAGTTTTCCCGCCCCAACAGTTTGAGCCTTCTCTATCCGACGGTTACCTCAATTCCAGCGGCCTTTTGCAATCTGACGGCAGATCCGCTCTCGGGCGGACCGGACTCCGGGGTACGTTGTCGATCGGGCAAACTCGCCGGCGGGTGTATACTACTGCATGTGGCGATGTGACCCCAAGCACGTATACGGGGACCTTTGTGAGCAGCCAAAGTCCCTTCGCGACTCACAATCCAGACAACATGAACAGGTTGCTTGGGTCTGGTACCCAGCTGCGATTGGTGCTGTGGTCACTTATGATCATTGCATGTCTGAGGTACCTTTGCTTTATTGGACTCGCGTATTTGCGAGCCCGTTTGTCTGCAGAAACGAGCGTGAACTGGTTGGAAGCGGCTCACTGCATGTTTGCCTCAGACAGATTGATCATACGTTTTTTCTGCGGGCATTCTCTCGGCTACAGCAACCGATCCAAAGTGTTCCAGCCACCCGAGTGGCTTTTTAAGCTTGGATTTAGGCTTCTGCACCTGCTGCATTGGGTAATTCTTAGTACCTGGCCAGGGCAGGAGAAGAAAGCGGAATCTTACATATACTGTTACTTCTCCTCCCCGCAAGCCGCCGAACCCTCTCTCTAGGTCCAAAGCTATTCTCGGCACACTATGAGGACACAGAGGTTCTGGGCCCTTTAATCCGGCCTGCGATGACAAAGGACCCGAAGATGGAAAGGAACTTGATGAAATAGTCATGTTATTTGGCTCAGTTAAAGTTTAAGGGTGGGTACTATACCAACGCGTCATTCAATTCGAAAGTCGTTTTTAGTAGCCACTTCACTCTACCAGTCCACCTTGAAGACGTCCAGCACAGAACCCATGTGAGAGAAACGGCACCAAAGAGATTTTGATAAGAACTTCTAGCGTGACATATGCTTCGCTCCATGTTGTATGAATCTGCACCAAGACCCAGAAGGTATCAAGAAGGAAGACTACGAATCTCTACAATGAAAATGGCCAATGACGCTGGAAAGAGCTACATAGACGTAATCCCCCGAAATCACATTTCCTCATTACGGAATCCTCACCAAGGATATTTCCGAACCTCATCCTCCTTTTCCAGATCCAAACCTCTGTCAATCTGCTTTTGATGCTCGTTGTCAAGGTACTCCAACAAAACCTTCTCATACATCTCTCGGCCCTTGTAGTTGGCGACAGTGTCATCCCAGCTACGAACAGCACTCGCAAGCCTTCCTGGAACGTAGTCTTCCGCAGCCAGTTCGGTGACGGGATGGAAGTAAGTCCGAATCGTGAAAACGACGGCTCGACTCTTCGGCAAGCGTCGCAGAGACTGTCTCTCGGAGCGGAAGAAGTGATTCTCGATGGCCTTGTTCTTCTCGGCTGTGCTCCAGCTCACGACAGGGTCGTCTTCGCCGCCGATGCTCCAACTCCATGGAAGCGAGTCGTCGACTTGGATGAAATAGTTGTTGCGTGAGTAAATATGGTCGCATCGCAGGCGTCTGAAGAAGCTTGCCATGCCATTGTGCAGCTTCTCCTTGTAGTGTGGTACGTCTCCGGACGTGTGGATCTCTTCAAGAGACTTGCCGTATTTATCTTCGAGCCTCCAGAAGCCCGCCAAACAAATCGCGCCAGCAAGAAGATAGTATTGGCCATCGGGGCGTTCCATCATGATGGCCAGGTCATCTTGCACCAGCTTAGCTGCGATGGCCATGGGGTCCTCTGCAAGAGGCTTCTCGACGATGTTGAATGATTCGCCGGACCAGATATTGTCGATACCCACGGCAGTGCGCTTGAACAACGTAGGGTATCGGTTCGGCAGATACTGCACCAACTCCTCAAGTAATTCCATCGCAGCAGCGTAGGCATCGGGGTGAGTTCCGACAACCTTGGAGCCCCTTTCCTGTAAACGGGCAACCTTGTCTGCATGGTACTTAGGGAAGTGGTTGTCGAGCTCGATCCATTCCTCAGGTTGGATCGACCTTAGACCCATGGTGACGTGGTACTTCGGGCCATAGCGAAACGCCCGATATGGAAGAGGCTTCGTTGTTTCAATTGACCAGTTTGGGTACGGACTTGGTATGGGCATCTGGTAGAGCTCGGGCTCTTTCGACGACTTTCCATGCTTGCTGTTGCTTGGCTTCAGGTCAAGGGAAGCGTCTTTCCTGGATCTGAAGAAGCCGACCGAGTGGGGGATGTATGCGGCGAAGACAAGGGCAAAGATACCAAGAAGCAGCTTCCAGGCTTCAGGGCTGAATGAGTTGACCAACATAATCGCCATGGTGGATGCAGAATGCGCTACCAACGGGCACAGACAGGCAAGGATTCGAAGCACGGAAGAGTAATGCGTCTAAGAAGCTGAATCTGAGTTCACAACTGAAGCTGATATGTGGACAAGGCATGACATTATCAGTGTCACGGCCCTCCGAGTGAGCCGCTAACTAGAAATGGCACAGGTGCCCGGTCGCACAAAGCACCGTATCTTTACTCCAGTCTCGTTTTCCCCGCGAGATCGGCGACAATGGAGAACCGATCCCCACAGACACCGTCCCGAGCTGAGCCGGAACGCTTGTCCGCAAGAGGAAATTACAGCCTATCGACCCTGGCCAAGCCGAACTTTGCTGGACTACCTCCCCATTAGCAACATCCGAAAGTCAAAGGAAGTTGAGATGGATGAGTATCATAAATAGGAGATGCTCACACCGGCATCATCATAACGTAACAATCAAAGTCACACACGCCTCAAATATCATATCTATACCTGTTATCATTTGGCCTTTGCAGCAACCATCTCTCCAATCTTCACACTCTTCAATCTCATACTTTCACAATGGCCGCCTTCCAGCACTACGCGAAAGCTCAGTCTACCTTCAACATCCCTCTGTTGGCGGGTGACAACGCCTACCTCGGTGACGTCTTCTCCAGCGATGAAACCAACCCCGACAAGCCCGTCTCATCTGGCCTCTTCCGCCTGAAGAAGGGAGAGCCTCTTACCTACACCTACAAGTATGATGAGATGAAGATCATTCTTGAGGGCGATTACACGATATCCGACGAGACCGGCCAAAAGGTCGAGGCGAAGCCCGGCGATGTCTTCTACTTCCCTAAGGGCTCGACCATCACCTTCACCACAACTGACTACGGTTTGGCCTTTTACGTCGGGCAGCGCAAGAAGAGCGACTTCTAGGCTGATCCTCTCGTGAAACTTGTGGCATATGGACCGGCGGTACCTGGCATGGCACACAAATGTGCAAGGATTTAAATACATAGCATCGCTAGCTCCGTCAATTTGAATTCAGACTCCAACATTCGTCTCGTTCCGTTCCCCTGCTCTTGATGAAAAGAAAAAACGAGACAGAAACTGTCAATGAACTCCATGGAGTACCAGTCTCATCATTCAAGTAACCATGCCCGAATCTCAGGTCCAAAACGCCAGTGAAGCAGTGGTTAAATGGGTCATAAGTACAATTTATTATCCAAACATTGACCGCAAGTTGTTGTCCTCCATTATATCGATCCAGTGAATCGTCGGTATTCCAATCTCGCTGTCGTAGGCTCTCCATATGGTTTGCACCAGCTCTCTGGCAACAACCACCGGCGCAGGCGGCAGGCTACTCTCCAAGATACCCAACCGTCGCATGACAAAATGTCTGGCACTGCTGATGTCGACCGAGAGATTGCCCATGGGCTCCTCCGGTACCGGGGCAGAAGCCATCTGGCTAATGTACAACGACAGGTTGTGCGAATCGAACAAAGGCGGAGGGCTGATGACGCTCGACCCCGTGCCACCCATCAGGTCTTGCTGGAGCGAACCGAAAATGTTCATCATGTCAGACGACGCGGAATTGTCGTGCCGAAGACCGGTGCTAGCTGAGATGTACAGCAGCGGCTGGATCACTCGAGTGCCGGATGTTGTAGGAATGTGCTCCAGGACCTTGACGAGTCGAAGGGCGAGGGGAATGATCCACTCATCCCATGGTACGGAGCCACTCTCCGTGACGGGAGACTCGGTCGGAAGGCGAAGCGAAACGAGATCCGGAAAGGTCTGGTAGAGGTGAAGCAACGAAGATAGGCGGTAGGCCTCTGCAACTTTTGCGAGGTGAGACACTGGCGTTGCGAAATCTCCCGTGTCGACATCCGGGCTGTCTGGAGGGAATTCCAGTTCCAACAGCTGTTCCTCGAGGCGTTGAGCAACGATCAGGTCCTGCAGCGCTGAAGAGAAGTACCGCTGCGGATCCATGCCTTGCCTCATGCGATGCCGAAAGCTTCGGCAAAGTCGAATGCAATCTGCAAATAGGCGGTTGATAACCGTGGAAACCCCGGTCCATGGATGGGGATCCCGTTCATGGATGAGTTGAAGCTGATTGGCAGCCAAGTCTTCATTGTCCTGGCTTTCGAGGGGTTCGTCGTCGCGTACCACTGCTAGAAGCATCTCGCAATATGCCAAGCTCTTGTTGAAGAAGGTCAGCAGGTCCAAGCCGGTGGCGCTGAGGACTATGGAGTGCGTGTTCAGTCGCTGAATGAGAGTTCGCGCTTCTCGGAGGAACGGGATGCCAAAGCCCCGCGAATCTACCCAACAGACCGTCGTTCCGAGACAGAATAGCGAGAATAAAAGCCCGGTCGGAACGGCACGCAAGTCGGGTTGTGCCTTTACGAGTTCAAGCTCGGCCTGGATGAAGTCGGTTGCCCTGCCCATGAGTCTGAGAGCAGACTGGCGCATGCTCGGCATCCTGGAGGCCAGAAAGGCTGCCGACATGCTCTCGAGTGAGCTACACACCGTGGAGGAGTTCCGCCAATGGTCAATCGCTATCTTGCGGTTCATGTTTGCGCTCGAATCGAAGCCGGACCATGCTGGGCAGACCTGTTCAAACCAATTGACGATGAAGGCTGATGAAGTATCGGTGATGCAACTCGTTAACTGGTAATCTGGTTGGGTGTTCTCTTCTGCAGATGCTGAAGATGCTGAAGATGCTTGCATTACAGAGTTCACCGATGGTCGCCGGGTCGAATCGCTCACTTGGGGCCTTGAGACGTCGAAATCCCTCCCTAAAGGACCCGTCGGGGTCCCGCCCGGAGTCTCATGACGCTCCTCATCACTGCGAGATGTGATTACTGTTCCTCTAGAGGAAGATGAAGACGAAGATACTGAGTTGCGATGTCTTCGGTTGTTGAACGACCCGGAGGCCTTATCCTTCGAAATGCGACTTCGAGGTTCAGGCGGAGGCGCTGCTGTCCTTTCCGGGGACGTCGTTGTAGTCGTCAGAGAGGGATTGTAGTCCTCAAAAGAAAGGCTCTGAAGAGCTGGCTGATGTTTGAATGACCATCTCAAGCCCTGCGCATAGCCCCCGCACTTGATGCCCTTCCGTGTGCACTGTTGGCAAACAGGTCTGGACTCGTCACATTTAAGCTACCCGATAAGGGTCAGCGTCTGCGTAACATTTAATTTGATTTCATTGAGCGTTTCTTGGGCTCAAGAGCAACTGAAGTTTTGATCAAAACGTACGTGTTTGGCTTTGCAGGTTACGCAGCCTGATCTAGAACGAGGGTTGAGACCCGTCCTTGTCTTGGTTGATGCCGTTTTCGGATTCCTCGGCGAAACCATTGAGTTTCGGGAAGGGAAATGCGGGTATTGTATGTCTGGGCGCACGAGGGAAAGCTCTTGATGGAGTAAGCTGGTATCGAACGATATGGTTACTCAAATGGGCAGATCGGATATCAGCTCAGCAGATGTTGAAGATAGGACGAGGGAGCAGGCAGGTTTGTTGATGATCCAGAGCTGCTTTGTCGGGCGCGTTTACCAGTTTGTCGTTGTAGGAAGGGGTCGGGGTTGGGGGGCACGCATACAGCACGTCCCATCTGCGGCTGTGCGCTGGAAACGCGGGGGGAGGTGTCCATCTGATGACGCATATTTGTATCTTAACATATTGAAGCCAGGCAGATGATAAGCTAGCGGTGTCTATGATTGGGCCCAAGCTAGCAAATTGGTGTGTGAAACTGGCGTTGGAAGGGTTCCGAGAACATCCTTGTAGCGGGGAAGTCTTTGCAGCGCGGTCCAGCAAGATGACCGATTCCAGTTGTGGTTTCGCTCGCTGCGTGTTAATGCAGGTCAGCTGCTGGCCGGATTGCCGTTCAGCACCAGCGCGGATAAATATTCTACTCGTTGGTCTTGGTGGAAGAAAGGCGCCAATGACAGGTTAAAATCGAGGAAATGTCTTTAAACTTTCGCAGACATAATACACATCAGACTTTGGTAAGCGTCAGAGAGGCGCGTTGAAGTGACTGTGCACATCTAGGGTCGGAAAACGAAACCCAGCGTCTCCGGCTGAGGGCGAATTGATGCTTGCTTGACAGGACTTTGTATCTATAGACCCGCCCGGTGAGTCATTGGGGAAACACCAACAGTCTCTTGAGAGAATCTCTAAAGAATCTCTTCTGATGATTCGCATCTGTTTCTGCCTCTCCAAGGAAGAAAATACGAGAGATCGCACAGATGGAAACACCGAGATGCCGCAACGCCGCCGAATTGTCTCCAATTATTTCGGCCCAGCGGCGATAAGAACAAGCCAAGGGACCAGAGAGGGCAAGACGAAGGAGACCAGGCTTCCAGACCCAGATTCGCGGCGATCAGGTCTGCTTACCCCGCATTATGCAGGCATCCAGACCAATCAAAGCCTCCACATCGTGTCTTTATCTATTCCCTTACTGGAGTCTGACCCAGGGTTATGAGATAAGCCTGCATACACCCCTCTTTTCTTCCCACTTCTGCCGCGCTCGTGTCCACATCCCGTCCATTGTATCGCTGTAGGCAGTGACCTAGTGTCACCTCAGGCCCTCATGAGTTGGCGTTCTCTGAGGACTCGAATATATGTCCTCAATTTAAGGAGTTCTGACTCTGTACTAATGCTGAAGTCATGTGAGTTGTTCGATGGCAAGAATGTGATCAATGGTTGCTCTCGACCACTTCTTATTGTAATGTCACGACAACAGAGACAACAGCCCTCTGCCTGATCAGTCATAAGCATTTGTCTAAATAGTAGCAGGTTTCAATGAAAAGTTATCCATCATTTTTGTACAGATTCGTGAATTCTCGTCTTAATACTATGGACACTATGAAATGCTTACTCAAAGTGTGTTATCAATCGCCCAAATCATCTCTCATTATTCGTAACGCTGCGTTCTCCAAACTCATACGAGAGCCCACTTCCTCTCCCAACCTGGGAAGAATGGAGCTTCAGCCAGAGTTTGATGCACCCAGTCCTTCTCTAGCATTCCCGTCTCAACCTGAAATCGCTCATACGCCTCCAATGTTGGTTTCGCAACATGCTCAACGTGCCACACGCCCTTGTACTTCAAAATATTTTCTTTGCCCTCGTTTAATACCTTGAGCACGATGGACGGAATGTACGGCTCGTCCTTGAACTCTGACAACGGAGTGAATAAAGCCTTGAAGTTGAAGACAACGGCGCCAGAGAGGGGGAGTCGGCGCAGAGTCTGCCAGTCGACTCGCAAGTAGACGTCCTCGGGCTTCAAGTCAGGGTTCTGGGACTCTCGGTGGGCAATGTCCGGGTGGTCGGCTGGAAGATACAGCGGTTGACCCATTTCCAGACCCCATGATCCACGTTGAATCGGTTTAGATGTCGGCATCTTGGTGAAGAAGCTGGTCATCTGTGATCAGTGGTGGGTAGGTTACAATATTGAGGGGCCAAGCTTACCGATCCATGCTGAACTCCATCTTTTCTTTGTAGTCAGGAACTGTCTTGTGAATGCCTGGCAAACCCTGGCCGACCTTGTCCTTGAGGTTCCATCCCACTGAAGAGCAGACCATGCCGCCCCGGAGGAAGTATCGCCCGGTCTCGTGGTCTCTGAGCATGATACCGAAGTCCTCTGGGATGTTGTTCAGAAGGACGATGAGCGGCTCAGTAGTCTTTAGATCGGTCTCGGTATTGAGGATGCGGTTGAAGAGAACCCCGTCCTTAACCAGGAATTGGTTTGGATATCTCGTACATACGAACTGTAAAACCATCTCCATGAGCTCTTTGCAAGCAAGCTCACAGCCTGGAAGACTATCCAAAACGGCGTTTCCGTGTTTGGCGTACAGCTCTTGGCGCTGTGCAATGCGTTCGTGATATGTATTCTCAAGCTCGATCCAGAAGTCTGTATCCATCTTTGTAAGGGCTAGTTTTTCAAGATCATCAGTATAGAATACTCAAGTGGGAGCAGGATGAACATACACATGGTTTGGTGATAGGCCCATCTGAAAGGACGGTAGGGCCGGGGGACTGCCTTCTTGATGTCGAAGTCCTTTAGCGGCGATGGCAGCGGGACACCGGACAGAGTCGCGTAGTCGGGGAAGTCACCAAGAGACCGGATGTCATCGACACTAAAGCCGCTGAAGTTGAACTCTCCGGCCGGGGCAGACCGGTAATCGGTCCCCATTTTGAGGAGGGGCTTCGGCGTGGCGGCCAGGTCCACCTCCGTGATGCCGGCATACTGGGGTCCGAGCTTGGCGAGAGTGGCCCTCTGCGACGGCGGGAACGCGTTCACGTAGCTCTGTTTCTCGGCCGTACTCACAGTGGACTGGCCTGGTGACGAATCGCGCCGGAACTTATTGGCGTTCTTGCGACTGTCGATGAGCAAGCTGAGAAGGTAGATCAAACCGCCTGTGCATGCGGCGATGCCAAGCACGGTGAGTGCAACATGAGGACTCGCAAAATCAAACATGAAAGACATGGCGGGATAGCTTTGATGGCACAGATTGGATGAGCGATGAACAACGCGTCAGAAGAACGAGAGCTTGGGGTTATTTACGCGCGACTCGGGAAAACATCACCGTCTATCAAACCGACGGTCTATCGCATGCCTCTCGAACGCACATATGTTTCTGGAAGAATTAACCTGCCTATCGTCAGATACTATACCTACCGCGATCGATGCGCCCGATACGCCATGCGGCACGTCTATGCGACAGCAGGAGAGTTGAGACCGGCCAGAGGCACGCCCTCTTCATCTGACAGCCGGAACGGGAAAGATTTCACGGTGTGAACTTTAACCATCCGGTATGTTTGGGTCTAACCCGAAATGTTAAATCTACCCGGCGAATGTCTCGCAGCCATTTGATGAGGTTCCGATAAGGACCTGGGCAGCCAGTGCGGGATGACCCCGCTTGATGACGACCGCATCCCCGGCTGTGTCCGCTCCCTCTGGAGCCCTTTCGCGGAGGCCGCGACGGTGTTGCAGCTGACACATGCCAGGGTTCCCTCGCATGGCCTTCATATCAAATCGCCTCGGGGCATTGCATCTCAAGACCAAACAGCGCGGCCGACCTTCGGGCAGCGGCACCAGAGGGCGTGACACCTCATGACGCTGTGCGCCATCCCTAGAATCCTGCCACTGGTCTTCAGTTAGAGACGCACCCTACTTGACATCATGTCTCTCATTGGCCGGCCCTTCAGCCCCTTTTACCAGGGCCACGAACTTCCAAGACTCCATCAACCGTCCTCCCTTCCATTCCCCATGAACGCCCAGACTTTTATTCGGATGTAAGATAGGTCTTTTGGTCTGATTTGCGTTGACGAACGCTTGGCAGCGTCCCTTGAGGATATCCGGGGTACCTCAGGCCAATCAGGGCAACTGGCCTTATCTGGTATCAGTGTAGTGATGAGAGCCAAGAGAATAGTAGCATGCTTAAATTTGACACAATTCGGGCTGGGTATCAACCTTATCTGATTTCGGTGATGTTCGAGTGATAGCCACAGGCTGGAGACATTGTGAGCCCGAGACACTGGAAACACTTAAGTGGTTCCGAAGTCTCCATGCCCGGTCTTGCATATGATCGGCCCGTCGTCCTGGTTCTTTAAAGAATAAGAAAGACGCGCGCTTGTATCAGCTCCCGTGCGCAGGTGTTCATCTTTACTCTTCAAGAAGCATATCTTGAACAGCCGCCAACATGGCGGAGATCATCCCGGTGACAGAATTCCCCGACTACGCCGTCGACCCGACCGGCGGCGACCCCCTTACCCATGATCTTAACGCTCCCTATGACAAGGTGAATACTGGCCTCTGAAGTAGAGCATACAGGGTTGGAAGAAGTATTACGGGCGACTGACACCGTTTAGGGCGACCTTTGCTGGGTTTTGGTCTGCACAATCTTCTGCTGGCAGATTACGCCAGCCATTGGCTTCCTTTATGCGGGAATGCATCGTCGAAAGTCATCTTTGACGATGATCTTGCAGTCTCTCTTCTGCGCATGTGCATGCGGCATCCAGTACTGGCTTTACGGAGCTTCGTTGTATCAGTCAAGGGTATCAAATCCGATCTTGGGCGACTTATCTGTTGGCGTGTTCCACAATATCCTTGCCTCCCCGTCTTTCGCCAACTCTGATATTCCAGACATCCTCTGTAAGAATTTTGCAAAAGAAGGTCAATCGTGTAAGGACATGTGATTAATATTTTTCAATTAGATGCTGCGTTCGGATTCACCTTTGTTACGGCCACAGCAATGATCTTGGCCGGCGCGATGCTGGAGCGCGGTCGTCTGTGGCCAAGCATGCTCTTTCTTCTCTGCTGGACAACGTTTGTCTACTACGTGTAAGTATGAAGACTCCCTCCGCAGAGCGAAATACTCACCCCCGGTAGTTTGGCACACTGGGAATGGAATCCCAGTGGTTGGCTCTACAACCTTGGCCTCTACGACTTCGCCGGCTCTGGCCCCGTTCACATTGCCAGTGGCTTCGGATCGCTTGCATGGTCTATGATGCTCGGCCCGAGACTGAGTGACGACGCAGTAACGAGGAAGAAGTACGCGCCGCACTTCAAACCGCACAACCCGTTGTTGATGGTTCTCGGAACGGTTCTCATCTGGTTCGGGTGGTTTGCTTTCAACGGCGCCAGCACGGCCAACCTAAGTCTCCGATCCATCTATGTCGTCGTCAACACGAATTTCGCTGCCTGCGGTGGTGGGATCACCTGGGTCTTGCTCGATTACTTCTATATCAAGAAGTTTAGCCTTGTTGGATTCTGTTCCGGCATCATTGCTGGCCTGGTTGGAATCACGCCGGCTGCAGGCTTCGGTAAGCATTCCGACTTCGGGCGCAGCCTGTTCGAAAGCTAATCGGCTTCTTAGTGCTCGTGTATGTCTCGCCGCTTGTTGGCGTTCTGACGGCCATCTGCTCGTACTACACCGTCAAATACCAGTATCTCTTCCGTGTCGACGACGGACTCGACATCTTCGCAATTCATGGCGTCGGCGGTTACGTTGGCGATATCCTCACCGGTCTCTTCGCTCACAAGATGGTCCCCGCACTTGATGGTGTGAGCAACACCTACGACGGCGGTTGGTGGAACGGCAACTTTCGCCAACTGGGTCTGCAGCTTGCGGGCGGAACAACTTGCGCTGCGTGGTCTTTCTTCGTATCCTGCATCTTGCTGTTCGTCATCAACAAGATTCCTGGATGCCATCTCCGCGCCACCGAGGAAGACGAGATTCGTGGTCTTGATTATGCTTACATTGAAGATGCCATCTCGGATTACGATCACGGCGACCTCTTCATTCATAACGGGCAGGTGGTTGACTCGCCTCCGAGGGAGACGAGCGTGTCCAAGAGCGCATAGAACGGATATTCTGATGGAATTAGATACGTAGACATAACTCAAGTTAGACGATGGCAAGCTATCATGTCAATAGACTAATAATACTGGTTCAGTACCCGAGTTGAAAAGAGTTGAGCAAGGGCACTAGATGAACACTTTAAGAGCCTCCATCTGTACGTTGCAAAGCCGAGCTGGCGTCAAAATGTCGAAAAATGAAGCCGGTTAAGACACTTCAGAGTATTGAGTTTCTGCCAGCGTGAAGCATTCTAAATGAGTCTGCCCACTGCATTTAACTAAGTATCATTCGAATTAACTGACCTATGAAGTGGCATTGAAGCCGAGAGTATACGAGCTATTCGGGTTTCGGTGCCGTTCCGAAGACTTCACAAGCAACTAGCGCTTAGCATTCCTAAAGAAGACTAGTCTAATGTGCCTGTAGATTTGGCGATAGGGACGAAACAAAGCCTCTGAGCGTCTGAGCGACGGCGACGCTGGCCGAGTGTTCCGTTGCCCGTCTCTGCGCGGTTCACGGGCTCCGCCCCTTACAAACAGCGAAAATATTACACCTGAGATGAAGAACGATGATGAGACCAAGAGGCACCGGGACATGAAATAACAATCTCTCATTGTTCAATCAAATACGTTGTGTGAGATTTGGCAGTGCTGAAGTTCGCTACCTTCTGCATCCGAATTGCAAGAATTTGAAGTTTCGACAGGTCCATTCAGACCAGCCTTCATTTCACTGTCGACAGCAGTGTATCATCTAATAGGATCTCTGGATACTCGTTTCAGAGCCACTCAATTTACAGCTATAGTCAGCTTCCCTGGTATCGGAATCTTTACTTGGTGCATCATTGGGTCGTTTTGAAGAGCAGTACCTAAGCGTGCTTGCAAATATGGACGGGTGCTAGTGGGGGCTGAGCTGCGCAATGGTATGAGCTGAGTCTGATCACTAATCATGTAGATTCATGATGAAGGATACAGTATCGTAGAAATGCCTGCCTTCCTTTGCTGAAAGTCTCGGCAACCCGTCCAGATTATTGGTCACTGTAAGTATTTTAACTGTAGAATATGTCACCAATTAAGCTCAGCGGGACGCCAATCTACCGCCTTCCTAGATCCTGGCTAGAGCCTGTGGGTTCTGTATGTACCAGCGAATCGTAGGGGGTTTAGTGTGCGAAAGTTACTGTACTGCCCCCAATAATGGGATGACGCTAGAGCGGAGTTTCGGTACTCGGCAAGTCCACTCCCAGTGCTTTGGTTCTCACACCATTAACGTACTTTTTCATTCCTCCTCCCTCAACGACAGTAGGCGCAGCTCAACTTGACGGGGCTTGAATCATAAATTTGAGCGACTGCTTCTCATCACTCATTCGTCCTGTTGATGCGTAAATCATTCTGCAAGCCACTCAATTATCCCCAGCCCAAGGCAAACCACACCGCAACTTGGACCCCCTTCTCAAAGATTGTCCATATGGAAAGATCATCTGGACACAAGCGGAAGAGGACGGGGTGCCTTGGTTGCAGATCTCGTAGAAAGAAGTGCGACGAGAGGCAGCCTACATGTTCCTTATGCTCAAGGAAGGGCACAGAGTGCGTCTGGCCAGACAACTGGACAGCACCCCAGACGGTTGACTCTTTTTGCTGTGAGTGGAACCCGCAAGACTATCGTGTCTCTATGATGTGTGTCATATACTCAAAGCTAATCGTGATCATGATGTATGATACTATAGTCGACTCTGCCGCTGCGTCTTCGACTTCTGGACCTCAGACGAGTGTCAACAGACGAGGACCGAACCTCATCTCTCTACCAGCTGGCCCTTTGTGGACAACTTCGCGGGCGAGCACTGTCAACTCCAATAGTGACAGCAACTCACCGTCAGAGTCAGCCAAAGATTACGGTCCGAGAAATAGATTTCCAGGGAGCCTTCGGTCACGAGCCGAACACCTCCGCATGGCCCCCAAGATTTCTCATGTCCCACTCATCGTCCCGCCAGATCCTGACTGCGATGAGGGATCTTTCCAGATGCTCTTCCAGCACTTCCTTTCACGATCGATGCCGTCAATGTCCGTCGACAACGTGGACACTGAACTTTACGTCAGCACCCTACTCCCTGTTATCGTGAGCGACAATCTGGTACTTCGGTCTGTCCTAGCGCTCAGCAGCTTGCAGTACATGCTGAGCCATCCCGAGAATGACAAAGCTCTCAAGCTTGCTAGCACCTGCTACTCCAAAGCTCTATCCGCAATGAGGGCTCGTGTTGCGCTGAGCGGGACTGGCGCTCAAGACGACCGGCCGGATTGTCTCTGTGCCGCGAGTCTGATGCTGGCCTTGACGGAGTCTGCTCGGGGAGACTCGACCCGAAACCACGTCGACTTCGCCAGCCACGTGCTCCAAAGCATGTCAAACTCGGTGCGTGTGGGGATCAATCAGAAGTTGTACAGGAACATGCTGAGGGTCTGCATGTTCTTGCGCGTGGATGAAGCTGTGGAGACCATCCCTTCACCCTTCACATCCGCTCAACTTGTAAATCAAATTGACATGCCCATACTCGCTGGTCATCTGTGGGACGCTGAACACAGAGCCTCGGCGACGGAGCTCAGCGAAGAGTGCGGACTCTTCCAGACGCCGTTCATTGCCGGGCTTCTGACGATCCACCATCTGGCCCGGCTCCGGGCCGTAGACGGCGCGGCCAACATCGACAAAGACGAACGCGTCACACAACTTTCAGCAATTGAGATGCAAATTATGTCGTGGGAACCAGCACTACCGCACACAAGCCTGCGGGTCCGGCAAGTCTGGACCCTGTGGCGGTTAGCGATGCTGATACTACTCTACGAGTCGCCTGTGGACGGCAAATTCTGGCAAGCATCGAGGCGAGACGACTGCTACGAATCTTTCATGAAGGAGCTGAAGTTGGTGCCAAAGGGGCATGAGAGCATCGGAGTGATGCTGTGGCCAATCTCGATGGCCGGATCCTGCGCGCAGTCTCCTGCTCACAGGGAGCTGATTCAGCAGCAACTCACTGAGTCGTGCGACACTCTGTCTGCGAGAATGCTAGCTGTGGTTGCAAATATGCTTCAGCAGATGTGGGACGGAACCGCGGCGAATCCTGCAGACGATAAAAGAGAAGAAGAGCTGGTGATTGACCCAAGCCTCATCTTGCCAGAAAGCCTGCAAGAGAAGTGAATGGGGGATACGCAATGAATGACTCCCAGGAGCACTGTTTCTCTGCGCCATCTCCGATGATTAAGCGGAGATCCAGAAAGTCATGTTACGGGTACACACTCCTTAAATCCGTCATGCAACTCCGCTATCGGCATCGCCACTATCCATGCCCACAATGCCGATAGTCTTTGTGACGTCGAACATCAGAAACCTTTCTATCGAGGCCTCAGGAGGAGAGAAGAAAAACGACAAGTTCCTGAAAATAATGGCGGGCCTACAATGACATGGAATAGTGGGACAACCTTGGGAGCGGAGATTCTAATCATGGAATTTGTACCGCCATAACGAAATTCAGGGCCTACCTAATTAACCCCAAGCCAATGCGGGTCAATGTACGTATCTCTCGGTGCCCCTCCATCCTCACGCGTGTTTGCTTTCGGTCAACAGTGCCTGTATTTCTGACGAAACTTGTTGTTGACGGACTCGCAATCCAATCTTCAGATTTTGCATCAGAAGACTCACTCAGTATGGAATCACAGGTGAAGACGCCGGCCAAGCAAAATAGCTGGATGCCCCTCATCAACAAGGTCGATAAGTACGTCAATTACCCCGCCTCATTCATCCCAATCTCATCATCCCTGACTCCCTCATCAGTGTCCCCCTAAACTTCGACTTCAACACCCTCTACAGGCTGTACCTCCCAAAGGATCACCGTCCGCATGGGTTCATGCTCCAAAGCACCGTAGAGCGTCTGCCTTGGACTGCAGACTTCAGCATCGACCATGACGAGCGCAGGGTGCGCCTCCTCGACACCACAGCAAAGGACGGCGACGATGCCGGCAAGGCCGCCACCGCAGCGATACAGCGCGTCGTCGACGTCGCCGTCAATCTTACCGACAAGTTCCCGACGCTGAGCGGCCGACACAGCGAGCACTTCCGCATCCTCGGCGCGAACGAGTTCGTCTCCATCGAGCGCTTCCCCGCTCCGCTGTTCGGCATTTCCTCGCGAGGCGCGCACATGACGGCGTACGTCAAGAGTGCCGAGGGCATGCGGATCTGGGTTCCCCGGCGCAGCGCGCACCTGTTCACGTTCCCCGACCTGCTGGACACCACCGTGGCTGGGGGCGTCAAGGCCGAAGACTCGCCGTTCGACTGCATCGTCGCCGAGGCCACCGAAGAGGCCTCGCTGCCGGCCGACTTTGTGAAGGAGAACGCGCGGGCGGTGGGCGCGGTCACGTACGTCAGCATGAACGAGACTAAGGGCACGTTCTTCCCGACGGTGTTGTACTGCTACGATCTCGAGCTGCCCGAGGCGATCGAGCCCGTGCCCGGGGATGACGAGGTGTCGGGCTTCGAGCTCATGACCATCGCGGAGGTGACTAAGAATATGTTGGAGGGACAGTTCAAGCCCAACTGTGTGCTTGTGATGCTTGACTTCTTCATTCGGCATAACATCATCACGTCGGAGAACGAGGAGCACTACGTGGAGATTGTGACGAGGTTACGGCGACACCTGCCTGTTCCCACGTATCCTGAGCCTGGAAAGCAAGTGAATCAATGACGTCGGAATGCGACTTGAATCTACTCATATCATTGACGATAGGCGCATATATACATCATTGATTTCGCTCATCAGAGCTTCTTGCACAGTCTCGTGCCATACTCGATCTCCTCCCAGCCCTCCGTCCCAGGCGTCGAGACAGCGTAGAAAACACCTTCAGGATCCCACTTCTTGCGCAGGTCGAATAGGGTAGGGTACAACGGACCCCAGAAATGTTCTTGCCAGTTAGCTTGATAAGGATCAGCCTGTATGATGAAGATCTGTCAGTTGATTTTTCCCTCGCTAGGTTCGTCAAGGTCCCACTCACCTCGTTCACGTATGTGGCACCATCCGGCCCGGCTTGCCGCAAGGCCTCGTCTTGGACATTCGTCAAAACATCCTGCAAATCTGCCTTCTGTTCCAAAGTCGCACCCACTGGCACAAACAGAACGCTGATGACGAAGTCGGTGCCGTTTCTCCAGACCGGGTGCGTCGCGCTGTTGGCTTCGGGCCAGCTGTGTCCCGCGTCGAACAAGTGTCCCACGATGTACCCCAAGCCCTTCAAGTCCTCCCTCGGATTGATCACCGTCTTGAAAGCGTCGACAATCTGATCGTTCCGCTTCTCGACATCGGAGTGAGCGAACAACCATCCGCCAGTCAATGTGTGTCTGCCTGCTTCCTCGTCCCGAAAGAGATCGACGTACAAGTCAAAGAACGTCCCAAATTCCTTGGTAGAATGCTCGAACGACACATTACTGGCTTTCAGCTCCGCAATCATCGGCTCGAGAATCTTGTCCAGCTCGCCCTGCGTCTTGCCCACAGCCACAAAAGGCTGCACCTCGAGCATCATCGCACCGAGTTCAAAGTAGACGTACAGCCCGTTGTCAACGAGATGGTTCGACCACTTATGGAACACCCGCACGCCCTCCCAAAACACGTCTTCGTCCTCCGTCAGCGTGCTGTTGATGTACAACACGCCCCCCGCCGCCTTCTCTTCCGCGTACGTGCGGAAGGTGACGGATGTGACGACGGCATACGACGAGGGCCCGCCACCCTTGAGCCCGAAGAACAAGTCAGGGTTCTCGTCGGCGTTGGCGATGACGTACTCCCCGTCGGCAGTGATCGCCTCGAACTCCAGGGCGTTGTCGGCGGCCATGCCGTGGAGTGGCGTCAATGGACCGTGGCCACCGCCCTGGACAAGACCGCCCGCAACGCCGACGGTCGGGCATTCGCCCGTGACGACGAGTATGGGAGGATCCTGGGCGTTGGCTACGTGGAGGAGGGCGCGGCCTTGCACGCCGGCGCCGACGGTGACGGCCCCGCCGGTGTAATTCCCGGGACCGGCCCACGTGTCGCTGAACGTGATGTCCTGGAAGCTGTGGGTGTTGACGGTGAGGGAGCCCCAGCCTACACTGCGACCGATGAAGTCGTGGCCTGTGTTGCGGATGATGAGGCGGAGGTTGTTCTCGCGCGCGAAGTCGACGCCGGCTTTGATGTGGTCCTTCTTGGTAGCTGTCACCACGTAGACGCCGTAGTACCCCAAGGTGCAGGACTCCGTAGGGTCTTGGGTTGGGAGGCATGTTGTGTTAGTGAAGTATTTCCATAAAACGGCGCCGGGCTGATCGGTCCTGTGAGTGAATCCGTGTGTCAATTCCTCGCCCTCCTCATCTCGACATGCTATGTGGTGAGGTCTGAAGATGGCTTGGGGATTGACTTACGTCCACTGCTCCTTGTCCCAGTTTTCAGTTACTTCAGCACATTTTGCGGCATCGTATGTCGAGATGTTGCCGAGGGTTCCTTCAAAGGTGTTGTGACACGCCGCCTCAGGAGGGACATGGATAGCCAAGTTCCCATGCACAGTGGCATTAAGCTGTGCCCAGGCTTCTGCCTTGGGCCAGCAATCATCACCGAAGTAGCACCTGCAACCGTACTCCTGGCCCTGCCATGTCCGGGGAACAAGTTCGCCAGCGAGGACGCTTTGAGCGAGCAGAGCACCACCGAGAGCAAGACCCGACACGAAGATCATGATGGCAACCGAACTATTGGCTCAGTACTCCATGCCATGTTCGTCCATTGCGAGGGATGATGCTTCGGATTATGTACCTGAGCCATTGTGCTCCAGCCATAACAAGCAAGTCTTAGACAATGCGGTTCCAGGGAGCTCAGCTTTCTTCATCGGCATTTCCCCCGCTTCATGACCACGGAATCTGGTGTTGCCAAGAACGCGCGAATGCAGACTACGACTGACGATGCGACTCAACGTCTGCAGCTTCGGTCTAGATCATCTTTACCTGGGCTCTTACGCCGTCGGATATACCCTGCCCGTCTCGTTCGCTTACCCATGGCGTCGATGATGTAGCATCAGACCTTCCGGTGGGCGGCCGATTGAGCGCCCAAGGTTATCCAGACTGATGAACAAGAACATGATGAACCGCTTTAGACAGTTTGAGATCGTTGACACATGCCTCGTCTACATCGCATAGCCCGAGAAAGCCAAGCTCGCCTATGATAAGTTTCAGAGATGGGCAATCGTCCACTGATTCAATAATCAATCGAAATGGTGCATCAGTTCCTGGGAGACCAGCAGGGAAATAAAAATGGCAGTGCGACTCAGCCAATTGGAAATGCAGCCCCAGCTAGTGCTGACGCCGAGCGGTTCTGCCCGGCTGCCGGCAGATGCAGCGGACAGGTCTCCTGGCGAAGCTTTCCATTTCCAGAAGGTAACCCGCGCCCGAGGCGCTGTGAGGGCCCGGGGTGGGCAACAGGCGAATCAACCAGAGTCTTTCGCCCAGCCGAATACCTTCTCTTGGAGTTGGTGCGTAATTGTATCTGTAGACCGTAATAACAGCGCTGGTCTGGAGGCGTGTTTCGCTGCACCTGGAGCTGAGAAAGAGTTCTGTCAGCAAGCCCTGTTACTACGTTGCGACGTGAGCCAAGAGCTGACAACCCGATGCGATGTTGAGGAGGAAAACGTCGTCTGGCCCCATACACACGATGAGGGCTAAAGCGAGCCCGGCTAACTCAGACCAAGAAGTATGAAGACTTGAGCCCAGTGGCTGCGGGAAGTAGTACCGGCCCTTCTCCGACTATTCACAATACCCGGCCGAAGAGGCGGATCCGAGCTACCGTAACCGGAGCGGAGTCTGTTCGGGGCTGGATATTAGCAACGAAGATAATCAAGCAGGAATTCATATTCCGGCCAAGGGCTTCTTTCATTATCAATCAGATACTTGATCGGCTTCTGTAGTAAGGTAGTCGGCGTCAGTAGTTCTGCCGAATGCTGATGCAGTAACTGGCTTGGCTGAGGAGTTGGAGAGTTGGAGTGTTGGAGACGTTGGAGACGGCGGGTCTCGGCGGGTTTGTTGGAGACTTCACGGACTGTGGTGATCCCCAACTTCACACTTTGGTGGTTGAAGGAAAACAGCTTCACTATGGATTTGTCTGTTTCGGTCGAATTGAGCACTGTTGCGAGTTCGCCGTGTCAAGTTGGTGGTCAGGTCTGATATCCGTAACTGATACATGCGCAAGTCAATCCTACACGCTAAACGTGTGATAAAGCCAAACTACCTCCTTGGCTTAGATGGTTGGAATGGAAGTGGCTTTCCTGGCTATATAAAAGCAATGCAAGCATTCGGCACTCTCTAACCATCATGAGACCCCTAGATATATTCTCGCCGCTTTCATTTAAGCGCGGTCCCCCTCTCAAAAGCCGCATCCTTCTCGCCCCTCTCACGAACTGGCAATGCCATCCCGACGGAACGGTCTCCGAAGATGAAGTCAACTGGCTTGAGAGATGTGCTGCTGGCGGGTTCTCCATGGTTATGACCTGCGCAGCCAACATCCACCCTTCTGGCAAAGCCTTCCCGGGCCAGATGGGGGTCTACAGTGACCATCACCTCGAAGGACTTCGCCGCGTAGCCGATGTTATCCGAAAGCATGGGGCTGCGTCTTCGGTTCAAGTACATCATGCAGGTCTGAGAGCCAATCCTGAGTTTGTCAATGACATCGTCGGGCCATCGGATATCCCAGACAGCGGCGTCAGGGGCTTGTCGCTGAAAGAGGTTGAGGCTGTTCGAGACGACTTCATAGCAGCAGCGCAGCGGGCTGAAGCCGCAGGTTTCGACGGCGTCGAGGCTCACTCGGCCTTTGGCTGGATCCCCATGCAGTTCCTCTCGCCTCTCTTCAACCACCGAACAGACAAGTACGGAGGCTCTCTCGAGAACCGGTCGCGGTTCCTCTTCGAAGTCATCAGAGGCATCCGCCAAAAGTGCAAGCCAGACTTCCAGATAGGTCTGCGCGTATCTCTCGAGCGATATGGCGTGCCATTGACAGAGATGTATGAGGTGCTTGCTAAGGCAGTCAGGGAGGAGGAGATTGACTACTTGGACCTGGCCGTCTGGGACTGGAAGAAGGTGACCCAAGAGGCACCCTTTCAAGGGAAGACCTTTTTGAGTATCTTCATGGATCTTCCTCAATCTTCCGTGCGCCTTGGAGCGTCTGGTAAGATAATGGATCTTCAAGAGGCCGCTGCTGTTCTGGAGGGGGGCTGCGACTTTGTCATGTTCGGCAGGGCGGCCATCCTCGAGCATGACTTCCCAAAACGATTGGAGGAGAACTTAGAACATCGGTCACCATCACTGCCGGTTACTGAGGCATACCTCAAGGCTCAAGGATTGAGCGACAACTTTTTGAAGTACATGAAGACTTGGGAAGGGTTTGTCGCCGAGAACTGATTATGAGGGTTTGCTTTCTAGTTTAACTGCAGTAAACCTTACACAGATCCTAGATTATGTCGAGTTTTCTCTCCAAACACCACTTCTACTGTATCAAGTTTCAATATCTGTAAGAATACAAAGGGGTATATAAGAGCGATGCTAGGTATAGGCACCCTAACAATCGTTGACGAACGGGAATTATTGTGTTATTACCCAAAACGGCTTAGCTCCGTCATGTCGATGGCCTCATTGATCTCGCCACCCTTCTTCCTCCCTCTCAATCCAGATCACATAGATCCTCATTGATCCAAGCAAATCAGTCCTACGCCGTCATCCACATCGTAAAAGCAACAGCCACAGATAACGCCAGCATCGCCGGCGAGTTCCTTCCCCCAAGGCTCTCCTCCTCCTCCTGCACCTCCTCCGCAAACTGCCCGACGACATTCCCCCTCGGCCAGTACTCGCACACCAAATACCACGCATCATCCTCGCACCGCTTCCTCGCGCACCCGACGTCCGTTGTGTCCTTCCACACAAGCTGCGTAAAGTGGCCCGTCTCCTCGCTGAACTCGGCATCGTCAAAGTCGTAATCGTCGCGCTCCTCGCCCCACGCCTCGACGCTCTGCGTCACGTTGGCGTACCCCATCGCCAGGTTTTCACCGTACGGCCCGCCCGAGTGCTCAAAGTCGCAGTCGTCCATGCCGCGCAGGTAGTCGACCGCGAAGTCGGCGAGCGTCTCGTTCCACGAGACGTCCGATGCGTTGTGCTGCTCGCGGTAGTGGTTGGTGCTGTTGAGCACGGCGGAGGTGAAGGTGCCATCTGAGTTCCATTCCGGGATCGCGGTCGGCCGGGCCGGGGCGACAGTGGTCACTACGACGGTCTGGGCGGATGTGAGGTGGAAGAAGAGCAGTGCCGGGGTGAATGTTGTGAGATGCATGGTGAAGCCTGGAGATGTCAATATCGTGATGTTCTTCACTAGAGTGGTGCAGCAACAACTGGATTTCGCGCGTATGTACGTGAGAGAGCTACAGAGGGCTTCAAAGATTCAGCATTGCGATTATCTAGATATTAAAGCTCTTGATCAGCATCTGCAGAATCCTCTGCGATTCGACGATGAAGCGTTCCAACCAGGTTTTGCACCCTTGGCTTCTCTCATCCAGTCAATCGGGTCGTGAGAACGTAGGATGACGCATTCTGGGCTTCTTGGGGTCCTTCCAAGGCCATGAGGGTGGCCTGAATGCTGACGAGGGCCCCTGGGTAGGCCAATGGGCCCTGGACTTGGCATCCCGTTCAGGTTTATCGGCGGTTCGTCCGGGCTTGGGGCATGCTGGTGGCTGACCGTTGTTGCCCTGCACAGCCTCCGGGCGCTGATCGTTGATGCTTTTTGGACGAACCGTTTCCCAGGTTGTTGGGGACGATAATTTGTTACTTATCCTTGCGTCCACGAGGACTGCGGTAAAAGCTGCATGCAGCAATTTGTATGGTCCGATTTGGAACGGGGATGAGTTGTTGTTGAAAATGTTGTTGGTTGGAAGCGTGAAATGGGGGTTCTGCGTACAGAGGGCTTTGCCTGGGGCCAGGAGTGTTAAGCCTCAAAATGTGATGAGCACGCATGTTCAGAATGAGGTTGACGTTGACATGCCTATTGTTGCCCGATGATGCACGCCGAGGCTAACAAATATGTTACAACCAGCTTTCCCAAAGTAAACAGCCACATAGTATCTAAGATTGAGTATATAGTCGCTTATCTTTCTAACAAGCTCCCGAAGCAAAGTCGCGTTCAGCATTCATTGTGCAAGTGATCTATCTTGCGTCACCCCGAAAAAGTAGGCCTGCGCGCGGCACATACTTCACTGAATCATCCTCGATTGGGGACGGCCACCAGCTAAACATCCTGGGGCCCCTGCTGTAATGATGGGTCATGTCAGCACTCAAATTTCTTATTCACCCGCAGATCGGGCTCTGTTCCAACGTCAAATCTCGTCCTCATCGAGAACGTCCAGCTTTACGCCATGCCGTTGGTTATCTCATTCAGACCAACAGTAACATCCATGGCGTCTGCGGGGAGTTGCATTATGGTACGAGAGCCAAAACAATAGTCGAACGAAAAATACGCTTGGTAATATTAGAGAAGAGTGATGGTACATCTAATAATGCAAATCATGTCTATCCGTCGCTGCCCGCTGCAAATGCTCATTTGAACAACAAAGAGAAGTAAATCAGAGCGCCCGGTTCTTGGAAACGGTGTTCAGCAGCGGATGCAGCCACTTGAACGAACCCGGCTCGAATGGCTCCGACGCCGCGATGAAGTCGAACACCTTGGCCTTCTGAATCGCCGGGGACACAATGTAGGCCAAGAGGATCCTCTGCATGAAGCCCCATGACAAGATGTACCTCGCCATGAACCAGTCCTTCGTCGTAGCCCATGCGTGCAGTCTCGTCAAGCGCGCAGACTGTCCCAGGTCCTTCTCCAGCCCCTCCATTCTGTCGGCCCTGTACTCTTTAAACAGGCTTTCCAATGCATCGAATCCAGGGGAGCCGTTCGACTCGGCAATGAGTTTGCGCAGGCCGTTGCAGACCGCGACAACATCCTGCACGCCGTTGTTGAAACCCAGGCCGGCATTCGGCGTAAACTTATGCGCCGCATCTCCGACGAGGACGATCCGGCCGTTGAAGCTCCAGTGCTTGCAGATGCCCTCCTCGAGGCCGGCGCCGCCCGCGTTGTAGCGCTCCTTGAACACATCCTTGACTTTCAGGGTGCCGGTAATAGGCCACTCCGCAAACCGGGCGCCATACTCCTCGAGCTCCTTTTCTGTAAATGAGATGCGCTCCTTCGTTGGCTCAGGCAGTTTCTCGTAGCAGAAGATCCAGCCCCTTTCCTTGCCGGTGATGTACATCACGGACTGGTCCACGCCCTGCGTCTCGTAGCTCTGGCCGGCGGCGGTGGGACGCGGGAACGACGCCCACATGCAGCGGTAGTTGGTCTCGTACGGCTTCTCGGGGTCCCATTCGCGGGCCGGGTCTTGTTCGAGGGCGAGGCGGCGCATTTGGCGGCGGGTGGCGGAGTGCACGCCGTCGGCGCCGATGACCACGGATCCCGTGTAGGAAGAGCCGTCTTCGCAATTGACGATGACGCCGGTGTCGGTGGTGGTGATTTTGGCGAGCTTCTTGCCAGTGTGGTAGCGTGTTTTGGCGTCCTCGGGGAGGGTGTCGTAAAGGGCCTGGATGAGATGCGCCCTATGGAACGCGAGGGGCGTTGTGCCGTGGCTGTGGCGGGTGTCAGTGGGTTCGCTGGTGTCGAAGAGACGGCTAAAATTGGACGACGTACTGCTCCTTGAGAAGGTCAAATGCGGAGGACTGCTTGAAATTGAAACCGTCGGTGGTGAAGCCCCTGTTGTCGTCCAGGAGCATGCCGATTTCCATGAGCTTGTCTAGAATGCCGAGCTGGTGGAAAACGCGCATGCTCGTGGGACCGAGGACGAGACTTGCGCCAAGATCTTCTACGATGTTTGTCCGTCTCTCGAGGACGACGAAGTCGATGCCGGCATGGTAGAAGGCGTGTGCGGCGGTGATGCCGCTAGGGCCTCCGCCGATGATGATCGCTTTGAAAGGCTCGCTGGCCATGTTGTGTTTGTTGCTGAGGTAAGATGGATGTTGATTAGTTGTTGAATGCTGAAGTAACGTGAACTGAAGACGACGATGATGGATGGCATTGTCGCCGGCGGAGGGTTTTATAAAACTGCGCTGTGATCTACCATCTCCACTGAAGCTCGGCACCAAATTACTTTGTCCAGAGTTTCGTGCTAGCGTTACGACTCCATCTTGGCCCGGGAACTCGACGGGCCTTGAACGGGATCCGTCCCACGGGGTTCGTCTCCGTGCACTAGCACTGACGGCATCTCGCTCAGAGTAATACTGCGGCTATTATACACGAAGAACCTTGGAGGCTCAAGGCAGTGCGTTCATTCTCTCCCGACTCTGTCCGACAAAGAACGGTGAAATGCCTTGCCGCTACATAGAATGAACCCGGGTTTGGATCGTCATCGCTGCTCTGACTGCCACGAGACTAAAGCCCGGGAATCCATGTGTGTCAGATACCGGGGATTGAAGGTGGGTGAAGTCCGTCTCTCAGGGCTGTCAAACGGGGGCCGGAACAACTGTCGCCAAGCAGATCGATGCAGCATTTCAGCGATCGCAACGAGCATCGAACGCCAAATGTGTTGCGACAGATGCCACTGCGTTCGGAGAAAACCCACTGTTGAACCCAGTGAATGTGGGCAAGATGGGTTATCAGCGATGTTCAGGGTCCAGTTTGATCTGGGCGGGACTCGTGTTCGGTTGATTTGCTGATCTGTAGCAACGGTGCCCTGGTTCAGACCTTCTCATCTTGAAAGTTGCTTTTGACGCGATCGAACCTACAGAGGCGTTTCCTCCCATCAGAATCCTTCGGCATGTCATCGGAGACTTTCTCGATGACGGCGCCTCGGGAAAGCGGGTCACACAGCTGCATAACGCGGACACTACGGGCCCCGAGACCCCGATCTTGACGTGTCGGGACGGCAGCCACAGGCGCCGACCCGCTTGTGAAGATCTTACTCCCGCGACCCGTCCCGTCCTGTGCCACTTATTACATGTGGAAAATCCAAATGAAGTGAGGAATTGTAAGCAGTATCTTGAGCGGTTTATTCGACTCTCACCAATATGCTGTCATGCGGGTCTGTCATGATGCCACATGACCACCTTTGGCAGCGGTTTTTCCCGTGTCGGCACGCGCTGGGCTTTGGTGTCCGTATCCGACTTTGAATCTTGATTGATAGCTCAAATGACATCTTCGAAATCTCTAGATTCTCTCTCATACACGCTGTCGTGATTGTTGCACTTGTCAGGTCTCATGCTCATTGTCATGGATCGTAGTGCTCTAACGATTTACTATCTATTCCTGCCTGCCTTACATGTAGTCAACGCCAGCGGCCAGTGGAATACAACCAAGCAGAATAGACCGGAAATCAGAAGTCTGCACGCCATGTGTTGTGCCCAATATCAGGTCTGGCCTATTTGAACTCTTTTGGTCCCAAAACCATTTGAGAGGTATGTGCGACCAGTCCGATTCCTTGATCATCAGACGGGACAACATAACAGACGAACCTGTTCAATCCATTCCTTTTCAAATGGACACAGTTCTTCCTCATCTTTGGCTTGCTTATTAACGTCTAGCGACGATTTGCCACCAAGTTCTCGGCAGCTTCCAGATCTGGCCAATATTGATTCAAATCTGACATCAGCTAGCCCAACCCGCATCCATTGGCCCGGTCTGGCATTCTTGCCTTCTTCTTCGGCGCATAATCTTCAGTGTGTGGGGCAAGACCGAAAGGTTCCTAGTGTATGGGCTCGAGGGAGGAAGTCCTTTGGTTACGAGATACTAGTCTCAACCTCGCCTATTCATCACCCCTGGCAAGTCTCAGCAACTTGAAATCTGTGTATCGTGCCCTCAAAAGTTTCGAAAAATAGCTGAATTACTTGAAGAAATTCATTGGAGCTACACATCAATAGATCAAATGACACCACGTAGATGAGACTTCACCTCACGAGGCGTTCGTTGTTCGCCAGGCCAAGCGGTAGTCTTAGACACTCAGCCGAGGGTGTGTCAAACCATCAGTCCACACTTACAGGGAGCCGTTCTAGCCCGCTCTAGCCAAGTAATAAGTCGTAAAGCTGACCTTGACAGAAAACTGCTGCCTAGCCACCTCACACTATAAAAGTCCGGATCTCTAGGACTGTGACAAGTTTTAGTGATTGGGCCGAGCCATCAACACTTTCATCATCACAATCAGGTTCTCCAGCAATGAGGTCTTTCCTGTCATTAGCCGCCCTCGTGGCCTCTGCAAGAGCTGCCGTCGATATCCTCTTACCTCTATATGTCTACCCCATCAACGACCTTGTGAAGCCATACGACGGAACCGTTGATTGGACAGCCGCCATCGCAGCCATCGACGCCCATCCAGATCTGACTTTCAACGTCATCATCAACCCACTTAGCGGCCCGCCTTTCGCCAGCGAAGCCGGCATCAAGATCGACTGGGCCAAGTGGATCGGCCAAATCAACCAGCGCCCTAACACTGTGACCTTGGGTTACATCTCGACCCTTGGAACCGTACAGACCAACCCCCGTGAAATATCGGTTGTCAAGCAAGGTGTCGATACGTATGCTGCTTGGACGACGGCAGATGGTTGGGATGGCGTCTCGTACGATATTCACATCGACGGTATCTTCTTTGACGAAGTCAACACCGACCCAGCTCAACTCGACTACTACACTCAAGTGTCAAACTATGCGAAGGCCGAGACTGGCATCGTCGTCTTGAACCCTGGCGTTCCGGTCAATACCGCCAGCTACTCGCTCTACGATGTCGCCGATGCCATCTTATCTATCGAGACTTGCTACACCAGCGATCCGAATGCGCCGCAGGACCGATGCCCGAGTGGCACTTACATCCCCTTCACGCCTGCGTCATTGAGTGCCTTGCCCTCTGGAGCTGCTCAGAAAGCCAAGTCTGCCGTAGTCGTTCACGACTTCTTTGACGACTGGGAGCCGTACCAGCCTGCTCCGCTGTCTACATTGCAGACCGACATCAACGCCATCGTGGCACAGGGTGTGCACAGCTTGTACATCACGCAATGGGGCTACAATGAGAGCTTCACTCGAGAGCCCGCTAGTGTGGGGACTGTGTCGAATTTGTTGGCTTTGGCTCAGGGTCTATCTTCTGGTCAACCGCTATGAACGGGTTTGACTGTTTCGATAGTTCATAGTCCCGAAAGCAACAGGTTCAAGGAAACTGCGATCCGAAGTGTGGCTAGACTTTTATGAGTTGGCTTCAGGGCGTTGACTCTCAGCATTTACAGAACCATTTCGTTAGAGAAGAGCGCTATAGAGAACTTCCTACTGCGCCGAGCTATGAAATATGACCAGTACTTCCTCCCGCTCGAGTGACCTGTTGTATGAATGCAATCGAATGATGATGGACTGATTCGAGGGAGTCAAAGCTGTGCAGTCTGCTTAAAATTGCGTTCTTCCAAGCAGCCTCTGGAGCCCTCGAAGACCCTGTCGTGACTTTCAGCTATGTATCGCACCGGCTTGCAGGAGCTGAAGCCGAATCCTTGGACTTGTCTTTAGTATGGTGGTGAGCATATATGTTCACTTGGGCATTAGATGCGTCACAGAATTAACAAGACTGGTGTTCGCATGAAATCGAGAGCCAAAAGATGTGAAGGAAAGTGTACCTTTTTATGGTAAAATATTGTTGTAATACAACAGAAATAGGTCTCACCACGCGTTGGTGCGCCCTCATTTGCTAGTATTAACGGCGCTCATGCGAAGACTGCCTTACTTCAGCACAGCTACCCAATGGGTTTCTCAGCATATTTATAAATACGCCTTTCGCGTTTCGAAGCACATGCTGTGCATACCAAAGACTCAGCTGCCAAGCCTGGGCTGCATATGCGCACAAGGCAGAAATACACCCTTCCTATGAGACAATCAGGCAGCATGCGACACAGCCTATCTGCGATTTTAGCGCAGAGAACATTCCTCGCCGAGAGTACCCCTCTTTTTCAAGTCAAGCGCTTTCTCAAAACTGACACCTCAAGCTCCCTTTTCGCCAAAGCTTCCAATTCTTTCACCTACCATATGACCAACGGTCGACTCTCCCGCTCGTCAAGCGCTGAGCCCCAGTATACCTGTCGTTCATTGAAGACTTGGCGTCATGGCTTATCTCTCACAAGACTCTGATTTACCTAGAGAATCAAGCCTCAACAGACAAGGGACCGATACCGCCCCGTCTATATTGGATGACCATCAGAACGACCCAACCGGGAGCCTCATAAGCAAAGACAGCTCCGACAAGAGGACTCAAATCGCGGATGCTGAGGATGCACGTGGTCTTAGGAGAAGAGACTCTGCCAGCACCGTCCATCAATTCCTTCTTGACGCCCTCCTCATAATGCCTTCGATATGTTTCATCATTTACGGAATGATGGCTCTGCAGAATAACGGCCGGCCGATCAACGAGGACCCGGTTCCAGCCTTACTCATGGCCGCCACATATAGCCCAACAATCTTTCCTATCGCATTTGCCGCTGTTGCTGCGAATCTGCTGAAGGCTGCAGCCGGCTGGAAGATGGAGCGAGGCGTCACGGTACTGAGTCTAGAATACCTCCTTAGCTGCCGCTCCGTTTTTAGTGCGGTAACGACACCTTTATCTTTACGGCGTGCGAACATCCTAATGCCGTTTCTCGTCGCTCTCTGGGCGATGTCGCCTCTAGGAGGCCAGGCGGCTCTTCGTATAATGGGCATGATCCCTTCACAGATATCAGAGTCACAACCATTCGAATACCTCGAGTTCATGTCCGTCTTTCCACATTCAGGTCCTTTGGGCTCGTCTGGGTCCAGTCTCATGCCCTCAATCCAAGGGACCTTTATCTCAGCTTTATCTAGTCCCGAGGAGGTCAAAACAGGCCCCCGAGATGCGTTCGGGAACGTCAAGATTCCAATGCTTGAACACTATCCACAGACAACGACAGCTGATGCCGATGGCTGGTACAGCACAAGTCCCAATGGTTCTGATACGATTTGGTCTGCAATTATGGGCATTCCTGTTGCAACAAAGGGCGGGTTCTCTCAGGGGCAGAACTATTCTTTCGCCATCAACACTTCATATATGACCGCCCACTGCTCCTTACATCGCGTACAAGCAGTGGACTTCAAAAGCTGGTACAACTACATGTATAAAACTGGGATATACAACACTGGCAGGGTTCTCATGATCAGGTCTGCCGAAGCTCGCACGATGTTCAGCAAAACCCCCATGGATCTCATTCTCGAGGCTTGGTATTATCCGAATGAAACAGTCACCAATGCTACGTGTGTTCTTACAACGATGCATGCTGAAGTTGATGTAGCTTGTCAGGGGTCTCTTTGTGGTGCTCGACGCATTAGACGAATTGAGAAGCCGGAGAATATGACAGTGAGGACGGTATTGGATGGCATTGCAGGGGAAGGAACAGATAAATACGTTCCGTTGGGGGTTTTCAACGCATTCATGGAAACGTTCATCCGGATTACTCAAACACCATGGGAGGCCAAGGGCGCGGGAATGAACAAACCATTCCCTTCACCATTAGAGACCTACTTCACCCATCCGAATGCCCCCTTTTCCGCTCCAGGTATCGGCAATTGGAATGGAACGGATATCTACGAAGTCGGGGATGCGGTATTCTCGCAAAGACTTTCTCAGCTTCTCAACACCTTCTGGCTTTCTTCGGTGGCGTCCCTGAATATTTCGGGGAACTTCAACTTTCAGACGCACAGGATGCTTTTAGGAGTTGAGAACACCATCGTTCAAAACGTTACGGGTACAAAAACGCCAGATCAATTAGTGATGCGGGTTAACGGGCTTTGGATTTCAATATTGTTCATTGCCTCGGCCGTTATGCTAGCTTCAGGTGTCGCGGCTAGCGTCTTTGGCTGTCTCAGGCGGGGTCCCGATGTCCTCGACCGAGCTACATTTTTTCTAAGGGACAGTCCACATGTTAATCTGGCTCAACAGAGCTCACTGGAAGACGGGATTAGTCAGGTCAAAAGGACGAAAAGCCTGCGTGTTTGCGTTGGCGATATCAGGCCTACGGAAGAAACTGGTTACGTCGCATTCGGAACAGTCGGAGAGGCCATGCCGTTGAGCTGGCAGGAAAAGGAGAGGCGTTATGCGTGAGACTTGGGCCGGGCACCTCGAATTGGTATTCAAATAATGAGGTGTATTACTTGTCCGTCACAAAAGCTTGAGAGTACAGTTAGGATCTACCCAATCAGTTTATTGATGGGGAATGAGATTTGCTGGCCGGACATTGTCCTCTACAAGTGCAATGATAGCGTACCTAGTACTTCTCTAACGACGACAGTAGTAGAGAAAACGAAAGGGGTAGAGATAATGATAACAACGATGAACGACGACGATGGCAACGACGAAAGGGAGTACACAGGAAATATAAGACAATTGTTTTAGCTGAGGATATGCGGATTACACGCGTGTGTGGAAACGGCCCGGACTGCAAAGCTCTGAGGAGTGTAGTGCCTACTTGAGGCTTCTTATGTTCGCGATGACCCGTTCATAATCTTCCACCGCCCTTCCTTTCCTCAGCATAAAGTCCTGGGTGACAAGCACTCCGCTGGGCGTCCTGAACTCCATGTAGTCCACCGGCTCGAACCCGTACTTCTCATAGACCGCCTTCGCCTTGGACATAGACTCCAGAAACGCTATCGAGCCCCCTTCATCGGCCTTTTCACATCCCCATCGCAGCAACGGCGTCGCCGCACCCTTCCCTTGGTGTTCTTTGCGGCAAACAATGAGTTCGAGATACCAGTGCCTCACATCACCAAGGATAGCCGCATGCTTCCTTCCAATACCGCCGAAGAACTCGTTTGCAAAGTCCGGGTTGCCCTCCTGTGGCCAAACGTCTTGCGGCGGCGGCGGCTCCACATTCACTTCGCCGTCCTTAGCCGGGTGCACCCATTTCGCCCAGGCAATGACGAGATCCGGGTCTTCCACGTTATCAGAGTCCGTGACGACGAACACGCTACATCGCGGGTCTGTCGCTTCATCAGCGAAGGCTTTGAGGAGAAAGTCGTGACACTCCTGCGAGCTTGCTGGAAAGCATGTTGCGGCGACGGGGTTGTCGCTGAAAGCGGACAGATAGACGGCGGTTAGGGCCGGCCCGTCCGCGGTTGTTGCGGGGCGCATTTTCAGCGGCATCTTGGGCGGTAGTGACAGGCCGTTGGAAAAGGCGGCGGTCTGGGGAAAGTCAGGTGCTTGTCTCGGCTTCAATTCCGAAGAGGACAACCTTGATCAAGGGAAGGGGTGGGCGAAGTTGAATGGAGTTTGATGTTGTGATAACGTGGACAATGCGCTTCTTTGTCCACGTACGAATTCAACATCGGCGCAAGTAGCTGCTGCTTTTGGTTTGGACCGCGGGTACTGCAGCCATTTTGGAAAGTTTAGTGCCGGGCAGCTTCATGCTCAGCTGGAGCGGTCAAACAATCCGATTACGGGTGCATCGCGTGAGTCAACCAGGCAGTCAATAAGTAGGTAAGGAAACAAGCACGCACATACTGCGCCATTAGAAAAGGACATTGCCCTGAAATATGCTTCCAAAATGCGCTGAAGTCTCCGATGCGGGGGGTTCGAATGTAACACGCAAAAAAGAACACAAAAACGACAGACAACCTAACAGAGATGCATGCCATCTGAAATCCGCCAAAACAGAGCCATAGGACCGCGTACTGAACTTGAATTAGGTTCATTTAACTCATGATTACCTACGTGTGTGCGTCGCTCCGAGAGATTGTCACGTTGTTGTGCGGCCATCCAATCTAGGGTGGACCAAGATGGACCCTTCGGTTACACGCGGCTCACAACAGCCCAGGAGTATTATTCTGCGATAAGATCGATGGTAAGCACGGCGAAGTGCCAGAGTGGTGAATGGGATTGACTCGAATTACCACCGATATCAATTGGCTTCGGCCGCGCAAGTTCGAATCTTGTCTTCGTCGATATGTTTTGCTGTTTTGCTACCCTTTTCATGTCGCAAGCCGAAGTAGACGTTTGCAACAAAGCACAGTCACCAGACAGCTACTGGAATTGTGCCTTCATTGGATGTCCTTTTGAAGTAAAGTGATGTTGCGTGGCGGCCAGTCTGACTCGGTTGTGGAGAATGGTGCGGTGCATTTATGATGAGGTGTCTGGCGCACGCCTCAACAACCTCGACCTTACAAGACGCCCACGCTATTAGCGAGGCCTTCCCCTTCCAGGTGGACACACCTCGGTTAGCGGAGTGCCATCATCCATGCAGTAGTCGGTTTGTCCAATACATGCTGTGCAGTATTGAACCCACCCTCAGAACACCCATCATCGGCGAATCTGAAATTTTCTACTATTTCCACTTCGAATAGAGTATCTTAAGAGCTGTTCATATGGTCTTAGGTCAAACACCGCCCGATCGAAAGAAATGAAGTCTTGATTGCCTATACATTATTGGGTCGACAGACTACCTTACCCTCCGTATATTCAGGCAAATGGGTACCTTTAGCAGACGTGCGGGCTTGAGGATACCTTGGCATCGTCACACGTCCTCTGTGGTTTGATCTGCAGTCTTTCACTCATGATGAACAATGCTTCACGCACTATGACATCGTCACGTTATAGCCTCTAGGCGTGTTGTAGGTACAGGAAGGTTTGAGAGTTCCAGAAAGACCGATGCCTGTGTATTCTTACTCTTCGTCTGACTCTTCCAACTGATCTTCCGGCTTCTGTCCGTATACAGCATGGCTATCGACATATTAGCGCCTCCATCACAAGCGAAATGGTCATCGACAATGATTGGTCGAGTTAACCTATTGCTATCAATTCGCTTGAAAACAGAGGTCAACACTCACAAATACCAATCCCAGTACCAATGTCAAGTATTCTCTGAATCTTGTCTTTCTCAAGCGGGGCTAGAAAGAGTCGGTTTCCAATTGCCTTCACTGCCATGGCATGGGTCACCTGCAAGCGCTCCATCTCCAACTGTAATCATCAGGAGTGTGCGATTCCTTATTGCAATGATAACCTACATCATCGTTCGGAAGTACGTAGGCTACTCTGGGGCTAGGAACTCGCGCAGTGACCATGTCTCTCAACCGATACTCACCTCCCCGGCGAAAAGCATGATATCTTCGTCCATAGTCAACTGGGTAGTCAACGATGCTCGATGGAAGCGATTTTGTGTATGTGGTACTGAGACGATCAGCGAAAGAAATTATTTATATTAACCAAGCGCGCTTGCATTTGCTCGTCGATAGAAGAGCCGTCGTCATCCTGTAGCCATAAGAATTTTGGTTGACAGCATCCAGTGTGGGGATGCACTTACGACGGCATCATCAACCTCGAGCGGTGCTGGCTCAAGTGTCGAAAGTTCATTTGGCGCCGGGGTTGTCCCTATCTCGGAAGTAGGGAGATCAGCCGCAGACGCCTGGTTTTGCGCGGGCGAAGGTTCGTAGGTGATTCCCATGCTTGAGGCGTAACTTTACAGTTCTGAATTTGAAAGATTACACCACTTCTTTGCTGGAGCAGTCAATGTGAATGAGAAAGAGAGAAGCAAGCCAGAGATCAGCAATTGGGAAGACAGTTCTTTTGAGCATGGCGGTTTCTCAACCAACGCATCGACTGACAAACCCGCCGTTGGAACGGCGTAAGACCTGCCCAAACACAAAACAATCTGCCTGCACCATTAAAGCCAGGGTTGGCGTTTAAGACCAATGAGAAGGGGTTTCATGCAAGTTGTTTTCAACCTGAACGTCGATTGGGCAACACGTCCGCTCGACAGCGCAACTTCCCCTCTTCGCCAAGGTTATGTGCGTATTGGCCGACGTAGGTTCCATGGTCGTGTCGGAGTTGATGCCCGCCCTCGCGGTCTATCGCGGTCTGATATTGCTCCGCTTCTATCACCAGGTTTACATGTTCTGACATCTTCAATTCACCGGTTGCGAGCAGAACTCAGGATAACGTGCTATTTTGGTTCTCTGATTGAGTAACGTGACAATAGTTGGAACCCTACGTGGTCGAATAACCCACATATGTCGAACGCATTGCTTTGGCCGGGCTCTTGACAGTTTAAGCATGGTTTCTGACAATGAGATTCATCGACGCTCCCCAAAAGAAGAATCAAGGGAAAAGCCCTCCTCAGGTGCATGTTTGGCTTAGCATTCAGTGGTCTCAAATGCTCCTGTGGTGAAAGTCCCCGCACCAGTGGTGTCCAGGCGAAGGAATGTTCTGTCCGGGACAGACCCCAGCGAGTTGTAACCAACTTGAACGGAGAAGTTGTTACCGTCCCGCAAGTTTTGAACACCGACAGTCGCACTCTCACCCTTGTCGTACGTGGTGTAGTAACGGTACGTGACAATGCCAGGCTGGGCCTCCTCAAAGGTGACGGTGAAGTGGTAGAATTGACTCGGCTCGGCGTAGTGCTCGGTTACCCACTCGAAGGTAACGTTGCGGCTGCCGGTGTTTGAACCAAAGATCTGGTATTGGACGACTTGGCTCGGAGACTGGACGTACAGGTCATCCCAGAATGGCAAAATGGAAACGTCCGGGAGTCCACTGAAGGCACTTGGAAGTGGCTGGTTGTTGTAAGCCGTAGAGCCCGCGTAAAGCGAGAGAAACCCGTTGCTGCTGACATAGACGGTCGTCTCATAAGATCCGAAAACGCCAATGGGGAAGGGCAGTAAGGCGCTTGAGAAAACATCGTCGCCATCAGAGATCAGAGAGGTGGGACTGGGCAAGATGGGAGTAGGAGTGCAGGTGCTGCCGGTGCTGACCGTAGTGCTGTCGGCGGATGGAGTAGTAGAGGACGAGGACTCGACAGGCGTAGCGGAACTGGAAGATGTGGTCTCGATGGTTGAAAATCCTGTGCTACTCGACGTGTCTGTGGACGTAGGGGAGGCCTCTGTGGATGTCGTCTCGGCAGTCGATGCCTCAGTAGACGATACCTCGGTAGAGGAAGTCTCCACAGACGACTCTACAGACGACGCTGATGTGATTGTGGATGTCCGAGTCGACGAAGATACTTGAGTGATGGTGACAAAAGACGAGGAGCTCTCGGCCACCGAAGAGCTCTCTACAACCGAAGAGCTGACAACAGCCGAGGAGCTCTGAGCACTGCGGGTGACTGTAACAATCGGAGTCGCCGCCGTGACAGTGACGGTGGTAGGCAAGACGCCAGAGAAACACTGACAAGCCGACCAATACGCGGATGCATCGGCGCAAGCGCTCGCGTAGGCGGGGACGGCGCCGGTGATGACGGGAGCTGCCTGCCGGGGCGCGTGAACATTTCTGCGAGCAACTGGGTTCGCAGTGACAGTCACAGACCTTTACTTGACATTAGCGTGTGTCATAAGAACGCAGAATCAAGTGTTGTAGCGGGGGCTGAACGACGAGACGTACCCGGGAGTGACGGTGACTGTGGTGGATACGAAAGCCTCACACAAAGACTGTCGGGCTGCAAAGGGAGGGCTCTGCCGGGCTGTTCCAGCGACGGCGCGACCGCAGTTGTTGTTGCAAATGACCGCGGACACAAGCGAGGGAGTGCCAAGTAAGGCTACGATGACCGTAAAGGTCTTCATGATGGTGCAAAAGAATGGATGAATGTCAAGATGTAAAGAACTGTAAGTTGATACGTGAGCGAGTAAGCCGAAAGCCTGCGTGTAGATGGATTGATGAAGGGAGAAATAAGGGTGAGATGATCTCCCTTTAAATAGCTTATCCACGGAAGCACTCTCTGGCCGTGATCTTTTGGCCGATTTTGCTCGGCCAGGGATGGGGACATTGAGCAACACGACAGAATGCTCGAGCCTTACGGCTGAATCGACATGCGTCGCGCTGCCCCCGAAACATCCTGGTCAAGGGCTAGCTGAGGATTCATAGTTGGATCAAATCAGTCCCAAAGGGTCGGTTTACCTTCATTTCGGAGACTTCAAGTCCAGCTACCTACGCGTCCAAGAGGAATCAAAAATGCGTCTAGCTTTCAGCCCTGCGAAGCCCGATGCCACGATGATTGACACATGCTAATGGTTCCACCAATCTAGCGGAGCGACCCGAATAACCTTAAACATGACCACGCAAATAAAGCAGGTTTCTCGGCGAGTCTCTGGATTTCGGTGTTGAAAGCTGTGGCTTTCTAAGGGGGCGGCTGAAAGCACCTCCTAGTCTTAGCCTCCGTCAACATGGGTCGAGTCTGCATTCTTCGACGCTTCCCTGAAACGGTCCATGGTCTCCTATGCAATGCCACACCACGGAGAACCATATGATGGAAAATCAGTCACGTATGTTGAGGCTTTTCTGATGTCGGAGAACGAAGCTGAGAAAGTAAAGCTGCCGTCTTCGATCAACTAATCGAACGCGCCGCCTCTGGAACTTGTTGATATATTGTCGGTATGGAAGAAAAATGAGGCCAGAATGGGTTATAGATGGGCCTTTTGGTGGCGGACACCAAATTCCACAGGTATCAGCTCAGCTAATCCAAGCACCATTCAGCAGAATAGAGGACATATTCTGTGTTTGTGAATGGACCTTGAAGATGGTGTTCTGAAAAGCTGAGCCCTGTAAGGCTGTGTATGACTTCAAGACATTAGCTCCGCAAGAGTCAAATACCCCTTTTTTTGCGGAGATCATGACCTCTTCTCTGCATACCTATCTAAAGAGCAAATGAGGGTATTTCCAGCATGAAGATAAATACAACGAAAGGATCCGGTTATCCTCCAGCTTTACAATTGCGATTATCAAGATTTTGGTCATTTTCAATGTTTGAACCTAAAAATGAACACTCATGATGTGGAAGACCGAACGGAAGTGCCCGTGATATTGATATCGATAAGTGAATATTCCATCGCTATGCCGCCTTTTGCCCAACCCAAGAACAAAACACCATGTATGTATGCACGCTATCATCATTCAATGCCTCTCTCACTTGTGCCAGGAACCCCTGGATCTGAGTCTCCGTCATTCCCAAGCTTGAGAACGGTTTCACGCCTGCTGCTCCCAGAAAATCTGCGCACACCTGACGCATTTGCCTTCCCACGTGCTCCTGCAATTCGTTGTCGTGAGCCCAGGGGCCGATTGGTATCCTGTACGTCCTGCACTGCACATTTATAAACCCAGCTTGGTGCAAGAGTTCTCCCGTTCTTGCTGCTATTCGAAGGTCACATGCAGCTCGCTGCTGGGCCGTCTGCAAATGTGCCCAGAATTCGGTGACCGGAAATTCGTCCGGCATTGTGCCATCATCACATGACAAGACGGAATTAAAGTCTTGGGTTTCTATCCAGCCCCCTGGCTTTAAGTGACTGATGACTATTGTTAGATGTGGGGGTGATGAAGTGATTGGGTAAACTCACTTGTACGCCTTATCCAGTATCATTGAAGCATCGGCTATATAGGGAAGGAAGTCTCGCGCATGAATAAAATCGAAGTCGTTGCTTATCTGATGAAACATGACATGAGAGAAGGCTCGCGACATGATATTGGTTAACTCTCGTCAACGTTAGGTACTCACAGGATCTACCCACTCGTCTCCAATGTCGTCTATTAAAAAGTCCACATTTCCTGGAATCCTAAAAAGTGTGAGTGGCTGTCCTCATACAAGTATTGGCCAGATATTACTTACATATCTGGTTGTATTGGAGACAAATCTACGGCGACGACCTGCGCCCCAGGATATGTGTCGGCGACTAGATTGGACAAAATTAGTCCCAAGATGCGACAGAACATCAATGAAGACTCTTATTACCTTCAATCGCCCAGATGCCTGCAGTGATATTGAATGTCAGCTCATGTCGCAAACACTTCACCCGTTTTGCTCTCACTTACCTACGCCGGTGCCTAAATCGAGAATCTTTTGCGGGTGGCTCCCGATCGGCGCATGGAACCGTCGACCCTCGGTCACACGCGTAATCATCTCATGCTTCAGATATTCTCTTCCCTGCTCGACCATGTCGTTCGGAAAGGGGTATTTCCCATCTCTGTAGCGGTGATATCTGTTGGCTTCCATCAGCTCGAAGACTCCAGGCAACAGGCGGTGAAGTCTGAACGTGCGCCGAATGGGAATATTCGTACCGTCTGCCTCCGTAATGAACATGGTTCTTTATTGACGAAGTCATAGACTTCCACCCATCCGGCTCCGCGCTGAAGAGGAGGTAGTCGTCATCGTCGCCGATGCCCTCGTCGTCGGCGGGTGAGTTATTTGCAGTAGCGTGATGTGGCGAGTGGTGTCTCTGATTGACGGCAGAGGAGGACATGCTCTCGTCGCGAGTTTGAGACTAGCCAGAAAACAGTACGAAAAAAAGTAAAGAGCCCAGGGCCCCGGGGAAGAAGAGTGGTTTGACGAAGTTGGGGCAGCGGTGGAGCTTCTAGAGGAGAGCGGGCAAATGCGACGGAGAGGCAAGCTTTCATCATGAGTCGGGAGGACGGGACGCGCCGAGCCTCTCCACTGCTAAGCGCTTCGGGCCCAACAAGAGAAATGTCACGCGACCTGCAGCCCTGATTGGTTATGCCTCATCTATCTGATGGGGCATAGCCCACTCGCCTCCTCACGCCTGCCAGTTTTTCCCAAGGCTGCTCGCCGCATGTTGGTCCCAGTGGGTGGCGCGAGCCGACATTCCGTCACTGGCGGTGCTCCCTTTTTTGACGCGCAAACACGCAAAATTCGTGTTGGTGCCAATGTGGGTGGGAGCATACCACCCCGGTGTGGACACGGCAAGGTGGTGTAGCAATCTTGTCCTGACAAATGTATGGGGGTTTGCTGTAGCTGCAACGTGTCTGGCCTGTCAATTTCAAATTGCAACGGGCCCTTCCGTTGGCCGCATTCACCCATGCTTGACACTCCCGAACGAACCGATTGCAGAGATGGAAGCACGCTCTACTCTAGTGTAGCCCATGAGCGGGACCAAGCACCGATTTCCTCGGGGCCGGGACGGTGGCCCCGCCGCGGCGGACGGTCCCCGTGGGCCGCCGAAGTCGCCGGGCTTATGCACCGAGGATCCGGACAGACCACCGTTACGGCTATCCGTATGGTGTGCTCAAAGGAAGGGCCCAACGTCTGACACCAGTTTCACCGCCATCACCAGAGTTTTCTTCAACATTTGATCCCGGTAGCCTATGAGCGGCACAGCTCGCTGAAATGTGACGCGGAGAGTCATTTCTGGCCCCCTGGCCAATAGTCTCTCGTGGCGCAGCTTTGGCGAGATTGCTCCAACCTCAGAATTACAGAGGGGAATTCCTTGGCATGCAGCCTGTTTTTGTGTTTGTTCAGCGTGTTGGACCAACATGCTGCACCTACTGCAGAGCGCCAACACCACTGCAGTCTTCCAACAACACCAACACCGGGCGGCAACACAGCCCAGAATGTTCGGTCTTCCACGCGACTTTTCTTACTGCATCATCACTAACTGCATAGAGCCAACCAACCGTGCCTGCCTGGATGAACAGCGCCAATCAACTTCCTCGCCGTTTGACAGATCGGGGCGGAGCACGAGGCCTCCATTCCGCCCCGGGCGGGAGGACATTCAGAGAGGGCAGAGGACCGAAAACGCTACTGTCCCGGGCGCTCATCTAATGCCAAAGGACCTAGAGATAAGCATAAGATATAACGGCATCATCGTCTGGTAGCACGTCCCAAGCTGTGAATGTCGGAACGTCCAACGCAAAAGATAAAGAAACTGAAACTGCTGTGGCTGTACGAAATGATGTTTCTGCAACAACTTGTACTCCTTGCCGCCGCCGTTGGCTTCGTCAGCCCGGTCGCAGCCCAGTCGTCGACAAAGACGGAGAAGTCGACCGTGTGGCTGCCGCCGCGCTCCACACGCGCCGGCGAAAACATTTACGCGTCCGTCATCACGGCGGCTCCGTCATCGACCGAGTTCCTGTTGGCATGCACGTCAAACTTTCGATCAGCGGCGTCGTGCTCGCAGTTCAGCGGCGTGACGCTGACCTACGGCAACAGCACCATGAAGATCGGGTTCAGGTAGTACACCGCCAACTCCGTTCTAGGCAGCAGCGGGCTTCTCAAGGCAGCAAGGACTAACATACCTGAAAAGATCTGAAACATTCGACTGCACGCGAGGCTCGACGGCGAGATGCTCTGTTGGTGGCGCTAACAACGCCGCTGCCGCCGAGACAGTTCTCTCGAGCTCCGAGTCTGCCTCGTGGTCGACGGCGATCACTATCATCGCCGGTAACGATAAACTGAACAGCGCGAAGAGCAAGACATCGTCGACGTCGACAACGCCTGCATCGGCGGCGACGTCAACAGCCAATGGCGTGTGCAAGCGCGCGACGACGGGCGATGTTGACGGCGGCACCAATAGCGCGACGAAGCCCAAGACCAACCACAACAATGGCGATGATGGTTGTTCTGGCGCCAACAGCAATTTCGCTGGGCTACCAACGATCATGGCTGGTGTTGCGTTGGTTGTCGGCGTCGCCGTGACCATCTACTTGTAATGAGGGGTAAAAGTAACGCGCAAAGATCAGTGAGAAATGGCCATCAAGAGAAGAAAAAGGTTGCGAAAGAGTTTTCTCAGTTGATGAGATGATCATGGGCAGAAAAAGCGACGGGGGAATGGGATGACCATGCAGATAACAGCTCGCTGTTATTGATGGACATCCGTCCCTGATCATTTCCGTCCTCTGGCCTGGGGTCACGAGTCTGTCGCCTCTTTGGAGGATATATCCGGTTCATGTTGCGTCTGCGGATGACTTTTGGTGGTCGATATAGGCATGGTTTCAGAAGCGAGTACGACGACCAGACTATGAGTTTGTATATTGAACGAGAGTATGTATGTATGTATGCCCTAGGGATATTCTCTTTCTCTGCGCCCACATCAGGGATTCGCACGATTCAAACAATAATGACACACATATGACAACCCGCCTGGCCCCAAAAATATGCCACCCCGCAGCGCTTAACCTTCGAGGGGGCGACGAGCCGTTTCAGTGTCCCTCGGCCCCTGGGCGGGTTTTGACAGGCATTTGGGCCGTTGGAGGTGGTGGGAAAAGTACGCAAAAGGACCGGAGAAGTAGGCCAGCGCAGGGGATCCAGTATTTACGGTAGGCTCAGGCTGCACTAGCGACAGTTAAGCACCTAGCGCGTCTACCTTGTTTTCTTAGTCTCCTGGCTTCCCGAAAGTATGTTGGGGGCAAATGCGAGGTTGGTTCCTGAATCGCCAGAGACACCCTTGTTCCTCTTACTGGCCGGACCTGCGGGCGTCTTCGAATGACAGTCTTCGTCATCGGCGACTCGTTCACCGTGCTCGGGAGGACGTGTTCCCGTCCAAACATCTAAGATTGGGCTTATGCCGTGCGCGGTTGCCGACCGGATGAGGTGTTCACCTGAGTGTCAGTTGATTCAGGTGACAAGTTGTCAGAGCTGACGTCAAAGAAAGTTTCGCAACATTGGCGCAAGATGGGACGAAATGTAAGAATATTCTGCCCAGCCAAACGCGCATCAGCAGGCCCAAAGAATCTCGTCTTTCGGTCGCCGTGTTTGGGATCTCCGTGGGATCACCGACACAGGGTAGAGAGCCCACTTCAACTCGCATCTTCGCATCATCTAGGCGGTGACGAAAGCCGGTGCTAAGCCAACCGCGCCAGACCGACGTCTCCGAGGCTCTTGTGACGAGGAAAGAAGAAAAAAAGAATGGGCATGACAGATGTGGGCACGGACGAAGCTGATGCCGTCCCAATATTGTCCTCCACAGCGTCTGAAGGTTAAGCTTGGCAGTATGAGGCAAGGGTCGTGAAACCCCCCTGGTGGTGGGGAAGCTCGGAGCCTTCCCGCCAACTCAATCAACCAACAGTCGACTTCCGGAACTCTTCTTTGTTATTGACGGTCTCCGAGTGCATTTCCCATTGGGTACTACAGCCGGATCAGATTAGGAGACCCGGAACCCTGGGATGGAACAATACCGCTAAGTGTCGGAGCTCGAGGCCGACTTGGCTTGGCTTATCGCCAAGACCGTCCCTCCAAAAGGCCCCAGTTTCTCGTAGCAGCGCCTCCGTCTCAACCCCGGGCCCAATCTTTCTCCTCCTGTCGTTCATGGCAGCCACTCAGAGACCCCTTTTGCACCTTAACACAACTCCACGGAGCCTCACGAGCCTCAAAGTTGTAACGACAGGCGCCCAGGCAGGGCATCCCTGTCGCGCACGCCAGATCCGGTCGTCAGTTAGCTTCCCGATCAGGCCTAGCAGAGGCAGCCGCAACATCTTGGCAGCTTCATCGCACCCATGCGTCACGAACTCTGGAACCTCCTTCGAGGCTGGCGGGCTGACCTGCAGCCTCTGAGATGCCATGTTCGCGACCTTGACGTCTCAACCGCCCTTCCGAACCCTGCCATCCCATCTTGAGTCTATTGTCTGAATGGTGCGCGTTCAGCGGCCGCTACAACCATGGCGACTGCGACAGCTGGGGCACATCAGATCCAAGGGGAGAGGGGCCGGATGGAAGCACTTGCTCGGTTGTCTCCCCATCACGAGAACGAGGGGGCCTGCCAAAAGTGGGAAAGATGGGAGGCAAACATCCAATGATCCAATGTAACCATGCAGCTTAATCAGGCACGTAAGTGTGAACGGACAAGACGATCGTCTGAAGAACGAATCTATAAAGATCAGCTCGATCTTCCTCTAAACCGCTTCTTCTTTCCTTTCCTCATCACGCTCTACAATCATTACAACCTTGTTTGTTTTCTTCTTCTCTTCAAAACAGCTGTGCTGTCTTCAATCTCTTCCTAACGCACTTGATCATTCATTCTTCTGGGTCCGTGTCCCTCTTTTTCGTCTCTTAACTTTCGACAACTTTTTCAAAGTCACCAAAACCCCTTTCCAACCTTTCAAAATGAAGTTCTCTCTCGTCGCTGTCGGCTTCGCTGCCTTCGCCGCCGCCGCTCCCCTGGCCGCCCGCCAGAACAACGTCTTCTCCACCCAGACCTTCAACGACCTCTCCATCAGCGGCGGCACCGCCGGTACCGCCAAGCAGGAGGCTCTCGACAAGCTCTCCGGTCTCCCCACCGACCTGAGCACCGTCAGCAAGGCCGATCTGGACTTCCTCAACAGCGTCAACCAGATCGCCAACGACGCCGAGAAGGAGGCCTTCAACCCTGCCATTGAGGCCGCCACCGGCGAGGAGGCCGATGCTCTCCAGGTAAGACCTTTAGCCATCTCTGCCAGCAACCAAGGACGTCACTAACTGTACAATGAACAGCGCGGCAAGATCAAGAACAAGGTCCTCAAGCTCACCGCCACCATGCTGAAGCTGCAGGCTCAGCAGGCCCAGGGCGAGGACGTCGCCGACAAGATGGCCACCGAGCAGAAGAAGCTCGACAACAACATCAAGCAGGACGAGGATGAGGCTGGCAACGCCTCCACCGCCCTCGATTTCGAGGCCTCCACCGCATAATCGATTTAATTACCGGGAAGGCATGGGTGTTTGGGTGTGAAAGCCCATCAACACTACATGATTGGATGAAGGGGAGGAGACATTGTCGATCATGAGAAACTCACGAGATGAAAAGGGCGCTGTGTGCCGGACTCGGATGATTCGATCAAGTGCTGGCCATTGTAATGTTATTGGGGGTTGTATGGATACCAGTGTACACTCTAATAACCTTAAAAAAGAGATTAAAAACCCTTAAAACCCATGTGGCCTGTTGAAATGCATGCTTAATTCGATGGTCCTACTAATGGAGCAAGTCTCAAGAGAGAGCCTTCTTTGGCATTTCTGTCCATCTCTTCTTCAAGACATGAACCGAGCTCTTAGGTTTCCTGTCCCGCGTGAAGACTCCCTTTTTGTTTCCGTCTACGCGATGGATACCAGATGTTGTATGGAAATCCGCAAAATTCCAGACATGCTCACCTACCACGCTATCAACCCGGTCAAACACGCGATGGAACATTTCCAAGAACCTAGCTTGGTACTCCTCACTCCACGGCAAGTCGGTCACGGAATGCAGTCCAGACAGTGCCTCCGCGCCGTACTCCGTCATGATAATAGGTTTCCCGTATTTTCCCTGCCATCCCAAGAGATCATCCTCCAGCACCTTCTCCGCCGCTTCCAGATCCCCAGTCTGCGAATACCACCCGTAGTAGCGGTTCAAGCAAATAACATCGAATAGGTCCGTCACGCGGTCCTTCTCAAACGTGGCAAAGCCCATGTTCGCAAAGCACACCGGCCGCGTCGGGTCCAGCTTGCGGGTCAACGACACGAGCGGCTCCAGGTACTCGCGCGCGCCAGGCTCGGCGGAGGCCGGCTCGTTTGTGACGGTCCACATCACCACGGACGGGTGGTTCTTGTCGCGCGCCACCAGCTCTCTGAGCGCCTGCTCGTGTGCGGCCTGCGTTTTGTCGCTGCACGCTTCCGGGCAGAAGGTCGGCGGCGGCTTGAGGCCGAACATGCCCGCGATAATGCCAAGGTTCAGACCCACTGCGGCCGTCTCGTTGATGACCACGATGCCGTGGCGGTCGGCGTAGTCCAGGACCTCTTCGGCGTACGGGTAGTGAGATGTGCGGAAGGAGTTGGCGCCCATCCAGGACATGAGGTTGAAGTCGTGGATCATGTAGGCTGGATCGAAGCCCTTTCCGCGGATCGGGCTGTCCTCGTGTTTACCGAAGCCGGTGAAGTAGAAGGGGTTGCCGTTGATGAGGAAGCGGTTGCCTTCGACTTTGATTGTTCGAATACCGAAGGAGAGCTCATAGGTATCTAGCACATCGGCTGATCCAGGCACGGAGAGAATTCTGGCATGCAGTTGGTAGAGGTAGGCAGCCCCGGGTTGCCAAAGATGAGCCGACTCAATTTCGATCCGGCCTTTGGAAGTGTTTGCAGACGCCACAAGAGACCCTTGTTCGTCAAAGACCAGAATCTCAACAACGTCGTTTGTGACAGGATGCGTCGTTTCAATCTCAAAGTTGACGACTCCTTGGCTGTTATCGCCAATCTCTGTTACGACAGTGATGTCTTGAATGCGGTTTTGAGGCACTGAATATAGATACACCGATCTCGCAAGCCCGGCATAGTTGAAGAAGTCATGCTGATAATGCTGCTTTCGCTTTCCATTGGCAAGCGTCTCAATCCGCCCGGGCGGTATCGTTTCCCAAGTAAGTTCGTTGCTCACAGCCACGGTGAGCCGGAACTTCTGGCCTGGTTTGACGACGTCGGTGATGTCCGCCTCGAAGGGGGTGTATCCTCCTGGATGATCAGCGACTAGCTTCTCATCGACATAAACGCGGCCGTGGTGTGTCGCAGCGTCGAAACGTAGGAGGTAACGTTGTGCGGCCCAGCTCCGGGGGACCGTGACTTGGCGCTGGTAGTAGACCCAGCCAACATGACTGCGAATTTTCTCGTCCACGAAGATGTCATTGTAGCTGGCTGGGACTGGCACCTGCAATGTAGATGGAATCGTTTTGGCCCAGGGTGCATCCGTTTCAATGTCGACCGAGTCAGCGATGGCAAA